GTCATGTCCATAATGGACCTAAACTTTCTCTCAGCTATGGCATTCTGCTGTGGTGTGTAAGGAATTGTGGTTACGTGTGCAATTCCTTCTCTGGCCAGGAGAGTCTGCACTTCATTTGAGCAGTACTCACCTCCATTGTCACTCATTAACACAGCTGGAGCTCTCTGGAATTTGTTCTTGACCATGGCAATGTATTCCTGGAGCTTGTCCACTGTCTCACTCTTCTCTTTGAGGAAATATACAACACAAAATCTTGAAAAGTCATCCAGAAATATTAAAATATATCTATTCTTTCCCAGTGAGGGAACATTCATGGGTCCACATATGTCAGTGTGCACTATGTCAAGCACTTTGTTGCTTCTTTGTTCTGCACAACGTGGAAATGAAGGTTTTACAGCCTTCTCAGTAATACAGCTTATGCACTTTGCTGGAGCTTTGTTGCTCTGCTTTACCTGCAAACCTCTTACAAGATTTCTTTTCTGTAGATCCAGAATGAGGCTGGCGTCTCTGTGTCCTAGCCTTCGGTGCCATAAGTCCAGATCTGCTTCATCCTTCTGGCTGGAATGTGCCACTTTTGCAGACTGGTTCTCTGAAAGATCAAGCTCATATACACCATTTATTAGCTTTGCTTGAGCAAACACTTTGCCATTTCTAGTCACTTTACATTCTCCATTTCCAAATGTGACCTGGAAACCTTTCTTGTCCAAAGTGGACACGCTGATTAAGTTGCAACTCAGCTCTGGAACATACAAAACTCTAGCGATTGTGTTCTCAATGCATTCATTGTTTATACTGCATTTCAGGCTCATGGAACCTGCACCTTTTGCTTTAACAATGTTACCATCTGCAATCTCGATTTCAGATCCTTCTTCATCATTTATTTCATTAATCTCATTAAAATAGTCCTTTTTATATGAAAAATGCGAACTGGCACCTGAATCTAAAATCCATTTGTTACGTTTATTTTCACGATTCTGGACAGCTAAGTTCCTTTCTTGCAGTAACCATGTGCATTCACATTTCCCCTTCTTTTCCCCTTTTGGCTGAAAGGGGTGGGGTTTCTTTGCTTTAGGAGCCCTGCAATTCTTTGCAATGTGTCCTTCTTTGTTACAATTGAAGCAAATCACTTTCTTTTTTTTTTTTTTTTATAAAATTTTTATTGGTTTTAGAAACTTTTTAAACAAAAAACAAACAAACACCAAAAATGACAAACATACACGTATAGTTTCAAACATATTTTCATAGACTTCTTTCCTTTGACTTCCCCATACCCCCCTCTCTGCATCCCAGTGTCCAAAGTTCCACTAGCAACTCCCAATTGTTGTTTTCCAATCTCTATCTTCTTAGTTCTTTTTTTAAATTTCTAACCTTATATCCCTGTATCCCTTTATTTCTGAAAACCGCAACATTTTAGCATTCATTAAGTTTATAGTAGTCCTTAAGATAACTTTTAAATTTCCTCCATTCTTCTTCCACCGTCTCTTTTCGTTGGTCACGGATTCTGCCTGTCATCTCAGCCAATGTCATATAGTCCATCACTTTCATCTGCCATTCTTCCAAAGTGGGTAGATCTTGGGTCTTCCAATACTTTGCGATGAGTATTCTTGCTGCTGTTGTAGCATACATAAAGAAAGTTCTATCCCTCTTTATCACCAATTGGCCGACAATGCCCAAGAGAAAGGCCTCTGGTTTTTTCGCGAAGGTACATTTAAGTACCTTTTTGATTTCATTATAGATCATTTCCCAGAAGGCCTTAATCTTCGGGCATGTCCACCAAAGGTGGTAGAAGGTACCTTCAGTCTCTAGCAAATCACTTTCTTAGGCATCTCTTTGGACTTTGTACATTGCCTAGATGCATAACTGCTGTCCTTGCTTCTAGCATTTCTCACTGGAGATTCACCTCTATCTCTGCATTCTTCTTTTAAATAACCAATCAAGTCTTTAAATGTCAGACCTTGTCTATGCTCCATCAAACTTACAAATGCACCAAAGCGTGGTCCAAGTGATGATAACAAAAATGCTATCTTTGTATCCTCATCAAAAGCTTTGGGAGTCAGATCAATTCTTTGAATAATCTCAGTAAACTTGTTGATGTGCTCTGTGAATTCCTCTTTTGAATTCATCCTCAATCTGGTTAATTTACACACCAAGTTTCTGAAGCTGTTTATGCTAGACTCTCCATACACGCGCTCAATATCTCTTAAGATTTGAGATGCATCATCTGTACTATTTATTAATGATAGCTGCTCATCACGAAGTCCACTCAAAATTATGTGTCTAGCTTCGCTGTTCATGCGTTTCCAAGCACTTATCTTGGCTAAATCTCCCTCAGACGATCCTGTAGGCTGAGGCTCTAAAGCTTCCAAAATGTGCTTATAATCCAAACATGCTATCAAGCGCTGCTTCCAGTGCATGAAATTGTACTCATTCAGCACAGGCATTCCTAGCTTTGCATCACTATCAAAAGCTGCTCTAGCCATCTTAAAATCCAAAATTTGAAAATTCTTCAAAATTTCAAAATTTCTCAAAATTTTAAAATCAAAATCTCAAAAATCTCAAAATACAAAACAATTCTTCACTGCCTTGGGTCACTGTGAACTCTGAGGGAAGGGGGTGGGTTGCTTAATCCCCACTGCACAATGGAACAAAGGACCATGTGCTTACCAGGAAGTTAACTCAGAAAAATACTACTCAACTCAAAATCACAATCCAATGCAATCCTCCAAAAATACGCAGAAATATGCAATACTGGGGCCACTAACCCTTTGTGGGAATGTTCTGGGGTGCAGGAGAGGATATATTGTGAGATTATATCCTAATCCAACTTGTGCTAACAAGTTCCCAAAATATCAGCAGAGTTTATATACATTCCCCTTTAGTACGCAACGGTAACGTGTGCACAGGTTCGCTAGAACCTCTATAATAATTACCTTGGTAATTTCCCCTTTAGTTCCCTCTTAAAATACAAGACACGACACAGTCTTCATAAAAGTATAAAAGAGTTTACTCACGTCCTGTTCACAATGTGATCCCAGACGGCAGACAGGCTTAAAAAGGTTACATAGATTTAGAATCTATCTCATAGCAAGATAGGCCTTATCTCCTCTCTTGGCTGGGAGCCAAGAGGGCATCCTTAGGTGTTTCCTCGTCGAAGGAAAATGGCAGAGAGAGAGAGATGGCTGCCTGCCCTGTGCTTTTTGTCATCACCTGCACAGGTGAGGCCACACCCACCTCTAGTCACATGTGGAGGAAGTCCGTCCCCAGGAAGTTTACCTGCTTGCTGGACAGACATCCCCACCATGTTCTAACATGTACACTCTAGGAATGTTGTCATTGACTGCTCCTGTGTTTACATCCCACAAGATCAATACTCTCCCCTCCTGTGGTTCCCAGCAACGGGGATTCAGAAGCATCACTGCTCAGGCTGTGGAAGCAGAGCATCACCAGGGTGGCCAGCAGTCATGGGCAGCCCTCTCCTCCTCCATGAATTTGTCAAATCCCTCATTTAAAGCTGCCCAGGTTGGTGACCCTGCTGCCTCTTGTGGGAGAGAGTTCCACTGTTTAACTCTGTTCTGCATGAAGAAGGACTTTCTTTTCTATGTCCTGAATCTTCCAACAGCTTCCTTGGATGTCTGAGGTTTCTGCTGTTAGGAGAGTGGAAGACTTTTCTCCATGACAGGCATGATTTGCACACTCCTCTCCAGTTCCAGGGTTCCTTGGATGAAATGAATAATAATAATAATAATAAGTTTATTATTATTATTGATATCCCACCCATCTGGCTGGGTTTCCCCAGCCACTCTGGGCGGCTCCCAACAGTATATTACAAACACGATAAAACATTAAACATTCAAAACTTCCCTAAACAGGGCTGCCTTCAGATGTCTTCTAAAAGTCAGAGAGCTGTTTCTTTCCTTGACATCTGACGGAAGGGCTTGCTGTCCTTCTGCTGACACCATAATAGTTTCTTCTTCCAACAGGCCTTTGGGGAGCGGAAGGGTTTTTTTTTTTTTTAACGCAAATGGCTTTAAAATAGTGCTGTGTTGTTGCCATTATCTATATTTTAAGTGTGTGTGTGTGTGTTCTCTTTCATTCTAACCCTTTCTGCACCTTTTCCAGCTTCACAATATCATTCTCACAGAATCATAGAATTGCCATCTAGTCCAACGAACGCCTTGCAATGTCCAGCCTCCTGCAATGGGACAGCAAGACCAGGACAGGATACTCCTTTGGCTCTTTCATGATCTACACCAGGGGGAGGCAGCCTAAGGCCCGGGGGCTGGATCTGGCCCAATCACCTTCTCAATCCGGCCCACAGTTGGTCCGGGAATCAGTGTGTTTTTACATGAGTAGAATATGCCCTTTTATTTAAAATGCATCTCTGGGTTATTTGTGGGGCATAGGAATTTGTTCGTGTGTTTTTTCAAATGATAGTCTGGCCCCCCACAAGGTCTGAGGGATGGTGGACTGGCCCCCAGCTGAAAAAGGTTGCTGACCCCTGATCTGAACCTTTCACCTGTTCACCTACTTCCAAACTTCTGCTCACAGATACACTTCCAGCCTCTTCCCAGAGGACCACCATTCCTTGGACGCTATGGGAGTTGTTGCTGTTGCTGTTGTTAATAACTACATCAACAGCCACACAAGTCCTGGGTGTGGCTATGGGTACAAAGTCACCCTCAGAAGAGCAAACAACACTCCAACTCATGCACATCCAATGAAGGGTGGAAGATTGAGAGGGGGGGAAGGGGTGTTATTGGATTGCTGTTGTTTTTGTTTTGATTATGTATTTTGTGGTTTTATATTCTGATTTTATTCTGAGACCTGCAGGTATAGAGCGGTATATAAACTAGAAGAAGAAGAAGAAGAAGAAGAAGAAGAAGAAGAAGAAGAGGAGGAGGAGGAGGAGGAGGAGGAGGAGGAGGAGGAGGAGAAAGGACTTTTCCATGCAGGACTTAGTTAACCTCTGGAACTCCCTCCCACCAGAGGCAGGGGGGCCCCACTAACCTAGATGGCTTGAAAAGAGGATTGGGCAAATTCATAGGGAGGTTAAAGGCTCTCTGTGGCCCCCAGTCCCAATGGCTGCGCTTGTCTCCACAGCTGGAGGCAGCGAAGCTTCTGAGACCGCGGGAGAGGAGAGCTGCTCTTCTGCCTGAGTCTACTTGCGGGTTTCCCATTGAGGCCTCTGCTTGGCCTCTGGGAGAACAGGATGCTGGACTGGGGTGTGGATGGGCCTGATCCAGCAGCAGCCTCTTTGTCCGTCCTTCTGTCTTTGAGGGTGGCCTGTGGTCAGGGCTGCGCTGGGGAAAGTCTGCTCGGATCAGGCCGGTGGCCCCTCGCCGCCTCCTCTTTCTCTTTCTCTCCCAGAGCTGGGTTTGAGCTGGTCCCTCTTTGCTCTTAAGCGAAGGCGGCCCTCGGGGGAGGAGGAGATCAAGGACGGCGTCCCGGAGCCCAGCAGGCGGGGTGTGGGGCTCAGGGAGGCGGCAGCCCCCTCCTCAGTCGCTCCCACCCAGCCAGCCCCCAAACGCCCACTCTCCTCCTCCCTCCCTCCGTCCTCCTCTTTCTGTTCCAGAAAGGCGAATTCAGGAACCTGTGACGCTTCCCCCCTTTGCTGATTCATTGGTTTGGGGAGTTTAAATACAGGGAGGAGCGCGCCAGAGAGCCGGAGAAGCAGCCCCAGCCCGGGACGGGGAGCGCATCCTGCTCAGCCTCTGCAGCCGCCTGAGGAACCACCGCCGGACTCCGCCCTCCTCCTCCAGCAGGTAAGTGTCGCCTCCCCTCCGTCAGGGGAGCTGCTGCCTCCTCGGCCCCCGCGGGGAAGGGGACTGTCCCGAGATGGAACCTGCTGGATTCTGTAGCTGCGACTCCTGCGTCGCAGGGGGTTGGACTGGATGACCCCTGGGGTCCCCTTCCCGCTCTGCGATTCCACTCTGCACCTGGCAAATGGAAGGGGCGCAAAGAGAAGCGAGAGGACCGGGAATATCAGCGGAGCTCTAGGCGGCTGCAGGCGCGTGTCTGAATACTCGGAGCGCCCTCGGGCTGGACAAGCTGCGAAATTCCTGTCTGCAGCGCTGCATCTCCCGTGTCTGGGATGCTCCGAGGCCCCTTCCCAAGAGAGAGCCGCTGCCTTTTGAAGTTTTCCTCCCCGGGGAGGGCTCGGCTCGCTTTGCAAGCCCTTTCTCTGTAAACAAGGAAAAGCAGGGAAAACCGTTTCCAGATGTGCCAGGGAAAGGGAGCCTGCGGTGGCGGGGCGGGGGGCTGACTCTGCAGAGATTCCTTCCTCCTGAAGCCACTGTTTGCTCTGGCAGAGGAGCCGCGGAGCAGGAGTCGGCAGCAGCAAGTGCCCCCCATTTCCGCCCCCTTCTCCTCGCTCTGGGGAGCTCAGAGGCGGCGTGGGCGACGTGCAGGATCCCACCCGGGCAGGATGCCGTGGAGTTGGAGAAGGTTCAGAAAGGAGGGCAGTGGGGATGGAGCAACTCCCCGAGGAAGAAAGGGGGCAGCGGTTGGAGGTGTTTAGTTTGCAGGAAAGGCGAGCGAAAGAGGAGGCAACAGAATCATGGAATCGTAGAGTTCGAAGGACCCACTAGGGTCATCTAGTCCAACCCCTGCGATGCAGGAATCTCGAACCCACGACCCTGAGATTAAGAGCCCCAAGCTCCACCAACTGAGCTATCACCGTGGAAGTTTGTAAAACGTTGCCTGCCAAGGAGGAAGCGGATGGAGAGAAGTTTTTCTCCGACCCTCATAACGTGAGAAACTTCCCTGGAAGCTGGAAGATATAGGATAGATAGAAGGAAGCACAGAGTTAAACCGTGGAACTCCCTCCCACAGGAGACAGGGATGGCCACCAACCGAGGTGGTTTTAAAAGAGGATGAGGCAAGTTCCAGAGGTTGCACTGCAGGGGGTTGGACTAGATGAACCTGGAGGGCCCTTCCAGCCGTGATTCATGGAGGAGGAGAAAGCTAGCCTTGGCTGCCAGCCACAAGGGCCAGGCTCCTGCTTCTGAACAGCAGCTCTTGGGCTCGGATGCTGCTTGTGGGCTCCACTTTGGGGCAGAGAATCCTAGAAAGGGAGAGTTGGAAGGGACCCCAAGGGCCATCTAGTCCAACCCCTTGCCATGCAGGAATGGGTGCCCACTGGGGCAACAGGATGTTGGGCCAGGTGGTTCTCCCATTCATATGCCTCTCTAACCACTTCAGGGTGCAGGGGGGGGGGCAACAGCCCAGAAAAGGCACTTCCAGGTCAAGACGCCCCTCCATTCACTCTCCAACTTGGGTCTCCAAATGTTGGACTACAACTCCCATCATCCCTAGATAGTGGTCAGGAATGATGGGGGTTGTAGTCCAGCAACAGCTGGGGTCCCAAGTTGGAGAAACACTGCCCCACACCATCAGTCCAGAAGAGGAAGGGAGGGGGGTCCCTGGTGCTGTGGGGAAACTGCAGCTGCCCTGCCTGGTAAGCTGAGCTGCCCCACGGCAGAGAGAAAAGGCTGGGGCCGCAGACGCCTGCAAGTGGATGGGGGCCCCACCAGCAGGCAGCAGCCCCACCCACTGCAATGGCACCAGCTGCGCCCACCAGGCTGTCTGCCAGCCCAAGAGGATCCTGCAGGCTTTTCTTTCCAAGCTGGCAGGCGGCCACATAAAACTGTCGGCTCTGGCCTGGCTGAGTTTGCAGCCCTTCCTTCTGACAAGCAGCTGCCTTGAAATGGTCTGTTGCAAGGAGAAAAGCACTGCTGCCGCCCCCCCCCCAGCATGAGAGCCCTTCGCAGAGTAGGCAGAGTAGGGTGCCTCAGTGGAAGGCCTGCAAGTGGGATTCGAACACAAGAGCAACCCTCTCCCCTCCTGCAGTTTCCAGCAACTGGGATTCAGAAGCATCGCTGCCTCTGACCGTGGAGACAGAGCAGAGCCCTCCTGGCTGGAAGCCCCTGGCAGCCTCCTCTTCCTTCTCCATGAATTTCTCTAATCCTCTTTTAAAGCCATCTAGGTTTGCAGGCACCACTGTGCCCTGCAGCAGGGAGTTCCAGAGTTTAACTAGGCACTGTGTGAGGGGGCCCTTCCTTTTAGCTGTCCTGAAATCTTCCAACATTCAACTTCCTTGGCTGCCCATGAATTCTAGCCTTGAGGAAAACTCTCCTTTCTGCCTTTTCTTTTTTTAAAGTCCCAGGTGCTGCAATCTTTTTTCACAGGGGCTTCACCCCCTTGATCATTTTGGCTGCTCTTTTCTGAACCTTCCCCGTGTCTGCGATATCCTTTCTGAGGTGAGGCAACCAGAACCGTACACCATATTTACCCTGCCCTTCCCAGCTCTCTCCTGCAGGCCTGGGGCTGGCTGGCTACTGCTGGTGCTCCTGTGATGGGGTCTGCCTGGCATCATGCGCTACTCCTGGCCAGCGAAGATGAGCTCCTGGGCCCTGAACGTAGAGCGGCAGCCCATGCGCTTGCCAAGACGCAGCGCTCAGTGCCGCCTCCAGAGCATGCCTTGGCTGTGTGCAATTACTGCAGCCACAAAGCCTTCTCTGACCACCAGCCTCGCTCAGAGTTTCCAGCCAGGAGCCTCACCAGCGAATATTATTCCGCTCCGAGCCCTCAAGCGCGCCAGACACTCTGGGGAACATTTCGGCCTCAGGCGCTAATGAGGAGCACATTCGGGCCCCACCAAGGGAGGCAGCCTCGTAATTTTCTCATCTTGGAAGCACTGAGCTCCGCCGGACTTCCTGGCGGATCATTTGTGGAAATGTCCAGGGTGGCAGGAGAGGAGATATTGTTTATTAATATCCTTCCTTGCACTTGCAAGTTCCTTTACTTAGCAGAGTTTACATTCCCCTTTTTACATACACAGCAGATAGCTGGCTGCAGGCTCGTGTGAGTCTCTCACTACTATACAATTCAGTCTGTCTCAGATTGAATTGCACGTTCCTGGTAAATTCCCTTTAATCCCTCTTAAAAAGAATAAAGACACGACAAACTAAGTCAATAAAAGAAGTTTACTCACATCAGTTCACAGTTGGATTCCTGAAGACAGACTTAGTTACAAATATGTACATGTGAATCTACCCCATATGGGGGAATAATCCCAGTGCTTCTGCTAGCTGAAAGCATAGCAGTCCCTAGCTAAAAAGCTGGTCCTACAAAGAAGGAAGTCAAAAAGAGAGAGAGTGCAGCTTGACTCGTTCTTTTATTACCTGGACAGGTAAGGTCACGCCCACCTTTTATCACATGCAAAAGGAAGGGTGCTCTAGCCAGGAGGAACAGGAAGTTTTGACTGGCTGGACCAACATCCCCTTGCATGTCCACTCTAGGAAACCAAGGAATGTTGTATTTGACTGCTCCCAGTGGGTTACATCTTTGCCTCCGGCACCAAGGAAGGCTGAAGCAGTGCTGGGCGGATGGAGGTCTTCCACTCTGCCCTAAGGCACCACAATGGTGGGCTCCCCGCCCCGGGAGGTTTTTAAGCAGGGGCCAAACCTGTCAGGGATTCTGTAGCTGCAACTCCTGCCTTGCAGGGGGTTGGACTAGATGACCCCTGGGGGTCCCTTCCAGCCCCCAGATTCTGAGATTCTATGACAATGCCTGTTGGCAATGGGCTGGCTGGCATCTCTGCACTTTCTTTCCCCATGAACACCCCCCCCTTCTTTACCACTGAATCAGAGCCACTGGCAACCCCCAGAAAAGAGATAAATTGTCGTTTGTTGCACCCCAGCTCTGAAGGGCAGGTTTCCACAGGAAAAACTCAGGGGCTTGGACACGGATCTGCAAAGTTCAGGCCTGTGCCTGGAAAGCGTGGGACAAAAGCTCCATGTGGATGAGCCCACAATTTTCCTCTCTCACAACAACCCTGTGAGGTCGGTTAGGCAGAGAGGAAGCGACTGGCCTGGGGTCACGCCCAGTGGGCTTCATGGCCCAGTGGGGGATTTGAACACAGGTCTCTCGCCGGTCCTGGTGTGAGACTGTCACCACCACCGCTCTCTGGCTCTCAGATCCAGGCTCAGGGAGGGGGAAGGGGCCTTTCCGGGGAGGGGAAGAGTTCAGTGGCAGCAGCTCCACCCGGCTGCTCTGAAGCGTGTGGACTGCAGGATTTCTTGCCCATTTCCTTTCCTTACTCTTTTATCAGCGTTTTTCCTTACCAAAACCCCTCTGCAAAAGCCCATAAGCAGGATTTGAGTGCAAGAGGAATTCTCTCCCCTCGCAACACCCAGCAACTGGGACTCAGAAGCATCTCTGCCTCTTGACAGGGGAGGGCAGAGCCGAGCCCCCCTGGCTAGGAGCCCCCCATAGCCCTCTCCTCTTTAGTGAATTTTCCCAGTCCTTTTTTACAGCCATCCAAGTTGGCGGCCATCACTGCCTCTTGTGGCAAGGAGTTCCACAAGTTCCTCTCTGCACTGCATGAAGTAGGGACTTTCCTTCATCTGCCCTGAATCTTTCAGCATTCAGCTTCCGTGGATGTCCAGGAGTTCTTGTGTGGGGAGAGAGGGAGAGGGGCTAGGGGACCCCCGCATCTCCTTTCTGCACTGTCCTCTGCTCTTTCCATGAATTAATATGCCTGAGCTGTCCCCACCCGCTTTCCAACCACTGGCCAAGAGTGCCTGTTTGAGTTCCCCATTTCAAAGGGCTTGAGGAGCTGGAGCCAGTTCTAATTGCTACCGAATGCAGGAATTAATCTTTGCTCCACCCCCCCAGCACCCCCCCCTGCCCTGCTTGCTGCTCTTCTGAGTGGTGGCCGATGCAGCTGGGCCACGCTGGAGACGGCGGTGGGCTTACGATGCCACACCAAGACTTGCTTGGGACGTTATGGGGAGAAAAGGCACTGCTTATGCTGGGGAACATCCACCTGCCACTAGATGTAGTGAGGGCCGCTGGGCTATTGGGTTTGCAAGCGATGGTGCAGTCCTGTTGACCTTGAGGCTCATATTGCTAATCTGAATCCAGTTGGCTCCTCTGACCGTGACAACAGAGCCGCCCAAGACAAACCTGCATTGGCCTTGCCAGGCATGTCCAAAGTCCGTTTGGGGACTGTTTTGTTTTTTATCCGGCCCCTTTGGCAGTTTATGTATTGGTGTCAATGTTGTGGGGAAATGCCCCTAAAGCTCAACAGCTTCAACCCTAAAAAAAAGCTCAAGGAAAGAAGACCAAACTATGTTCCAATACGCAACGGTAGCAGCCAGGATATTGCTAGCACAAAACTGGAAAACACCTAATATCCCAACTATTAGAGAATGGCAAATTAAGTTATTTGAATATATAGAACTAGCAAAGATGACACAGAAGATCAGGCATCAAAAAAATGTAAAATTTATTAACGATTGGAACAAATTTATTACATACATGGAAACAAATTTAGGAAACATTAAAATCACAGTAGGTGTAACATAAAACCTGCGATGTATAGATAAAGGTTGTAAAAAGATACCGCAGAAGATAATGTGGGGATATAGCTCAAATCGTGGTGGAGGGAAGTCAATTGGGACGCAGGTGGCGCTGTGGGTTAAAGCCTCAGCGCCTAGGACTTGCTGATCGAAAGGTCGGCGGTTCGAATCCCCGCAGCGGGGTGCGCTCCCGCTGCTCGGTCCCAGCGCCTGCCAACCTAGCAGTTCGAAAGCACCCCCAGGTGCAAGTAGATAAATAGGTACCACTTTATAGCGGGAAGGTAAACGGCGTTCCGTGTGCTGCGCTGGTGCCAGCTCACCAGAGCAGCTTTGTCACGCTGGCCACGTGACCCGGAAGTGTCTGCGGACGGTGCCGGCTCCCAGCCTCTAGAGTGAGATGAGCGCACAATCCTAGAGTCTGGCAAGACTGGCCCGTACGGGCAGGGGTACCTTTACCTTTACCTTTTTAATGTTTCTCTTCGTTGTTTATTTATGTACTTTTGTTCTTTTTCTTGGTACGTTTGTGGTTTTGTTTTACTTTATGTTGTTTTTCTCTTAAAAAAACAGCTTAATAAAAAGAATTAAAAAAAATAAAAAATAAGAAAGCTCAAATAATATCGTAATAAATAATATCGGGGGGAAAGGTTGGCCCTCGTGCATGTTCACTTCATCAATTCTGGCCCTCTTTGAAAAAGTTTGGGCACGCCTGCCTTGTGTCCTTCTGCTCTTAACGCCTGACCTGTCTTTTGCCCGCAGGCCCCATGGATCCCAGAGGCCATGCCCCTCTTCTGCTGCTGGCAGGCTGCCTGGCGCTGGCCCTGGCGTGGGCTCAGTGCCCCAAGGAGTGCGCCTGCTCCCGGACGGCACAGGTGGAGTGCTCGGGACCCCACATCTCGGCCATGCCCGGTCCCCTGCCCGCCAACGCCATGAGCCTGCAGGTGATTGGCACCCAGCTGACGGAACTGGGGGCGGGGGCCTTTGGCAACGCCTCTCTGCTCATCGCCCTGCGGATGGAGAAGAACAGCCTGGCGCGCCTGGACCCGGACACCTTCCGGGGCTTGCTCTCCCTCCGCTACCTGAGCCTCTCCAGCAACCGCCTCCAGGAGCTGCCCGCCGGTGTCTTCCGCAGCCTGGACAAACTGGAGTCGCTGCTGCTCTCGGGGAACCAGCTCCTGCGCCTGCACCCGGCGCACTTCAGCGGCCTGGGCGCCCTCAAGGAACTCCAGCTGCACGGCAACAGCCTGGCGTCCGTCCCTCCGGGGGCCTTTGACCACCTGCCCTCCCTCCTCAAGCTCAACCTGGCCAAGAACCGCTTCTCCCGCCTCCCGCCCGCCCTCTTCGCCCACCTGGGCCGCCTGCAGGTGCTGCGCCTCTATGAGAACCAGCTGGCCGAGGTGGCCCCCCGCGCCTTCGCCGCCCTCCCGGACCTGCAGGAGCTGGGCTTGCACCAGAACAGGATCCGGCGCCTGCCCGACGGGCTCCTCTCGGCCAACCGCCGGCTGCAGAAGCTCCACCTGTCCAACAACCGCCTGGAGACCCTCCCGCGGGGGCTGCTCCTGGAGCTTCCGGAGCTCTCCCGCCTCTCGCTCTTCGGCAACGCACTCCGGGAGCTCCTGCCGGCCACTTTTGGCCCCATGCCGCGGCTGAAGGAGCTGTGGCTCTACGACAACCAGCTGGCCCAGCTGCCCGCCGGGGTCTTTGCCAACCTGACGGAGCTGCAGCTGCTGGTGCTGAGCAGGAACCGGCTGCGCTCCGTCTCCCCGCTGGCCTTTGAGGGGCTGGGGGAGCTGCTGGAGGTCTCCTTGCACACCAACCAGCTCCGCACCCTCGAAGGGGAGACGTTCCGGGGTCTGGGCAAGCTGCAGAACGTCTCCCTGCAGAACAACCGGCTGGTCTCCCTGCCAGAGCACCTCTTCCGCAGCACGCCACACCTGGTGAACCTCCAGCTGCAGAACAACTCGCTGGAGAGCCTCCCAGCAGGCATCTTTGAGCAGCTGCCCCACCTGAGGGAGGTCAAGATGCACGACAACCCCTGGCGCTGCGACGATGCCCTGCTGGCCCTCGGGCGCTGGCTGAGGGAGAACGGTGCCCGCCTGGGGGGCAGCCGCCCTGTCTGCGCCTGGCCTCCCCCCTTGCAGGGGCAGCCCATTGCCGAACTGGAGGAGGAGCACTTTGGTCTGGCACAGAGCCCAGAGGCCACCGAGGGGCCCACGATGGCCACCTCCGGCCAGGTGGAGGTCCCTGACCAGGACACGAGCCCAGAGACCGTGATGCCCACGCGTGCCCAGCCGCCCCTGGACCACGAAGGCGGCAGCGCAGAGGCAGAGCAGGAGTTTTCCACGGCAGCCCCCAGGGTGCTCACCCCAGGCGTTGCGCCGGCCGAGGGGGGCATCTGGGGCTTGACGCGCACCCAGACGGGGGTGGTGGTCACCTGCCTGGTGGTGGGCTCTGCCTTGCTCCTGGGGACGCTGCTGGCGGCAGCTGTCTATGGGTACAGGAGGAAGGCCCGCCAGGACCTCGCCAAGGCATAGAAGGGTGCTCGGGAGAGCTGGCCAACCAGACTGATGGATGGGGTCAGGGGGGGGCAGTGGGGCGGGGGGGGGGGAGATGCCGGGCTCTGTATCCCTTTCCCCAGATGTGCCACCCTCGGGCACAACGGGCACCCTCCCACCTGCTCACACACATGCCCTCCTGAAGCAAGGGGCCGATGGATGAGCCGGAGAATTGGAAGGGGTCCCCCAAAGGTCATCTAGCCCAACCCCTTGCAACGAAGGAAGCTCTTCCATAGATCCACTCATGTGCAGGCTAGCTGGGCAGGATGAGGCCCTTGTCTGTCCTGCTCCGCCAGGTGCTCTGCATCCTGTGGTCATTCAGCCATGCGGGCAACCCTCCGTGGCTGGAGAGCGGCGCTGCTCTTTGGGCGGCGGGGGGGATGTGGGCAGCTTTGCTGTCCTTGCCCTTCGGGAGAGGCAGCGGTGGCGTAGTGGTTAGAGCGCTGGACTAGGAACCCGGAAGAGTCCAGGGTTTGAATCCCCTCTCGGCCATGTGATGCTCCCCTTGGGGGCCAGTCTCTGCCTCTCAGCCTCGACTGCCTTGCAGGGCTGTCGTGAGGAGAACCACACTCACTCGCTGGAGCTCCTTGGAGAAAAAAGGTGCTATATAAATGCCATGAAATATATGAAATGCAACGGGTGAGACCCCCTCAGGGTTCAGTCCTGCCAGAGGAGAGAAGGAGACTTGGGCTGAGCCACATGCTGCTTCTGCTGAGGGAGGGTCCTCAGCCCCTCAGGGGCTGGTGGGGGTTGCAGCGGGGGGAGGGGAGGCCCCTGCCGGGAAGCCAGACTGGGATCCCTGCAAAGTCAGGGGGCAAAAGAAGCCCGGCTGCTGCTCTCCATCTAGCTCAATGCTGGCAGCACTGGCCTGCAGCATCTCCCTAGGCTGGGGTTCGAATCCTGCCTGTGGGTTTCCCCATCCGGGTGGCCACTGTGAAGGCAGGATGCTGGAGTGCTTTGGCTTGTTCCAGCCGCCTCCTCTGATCTTATGGATCCTCCCTGTCCAGAGGCAGTCTATCTCACTTCCCAGGTTCTTTGGGGCAGTCAGCCACTGGAGGATGGCCTCCACTCATAGAATCATAGAATCCTAGAGTTGGAATAGACCATCGAGTCCAACCCCCTGCCAAGCAGGAAACACCATCAGAGCACTCCTGACATATAGTTGTCAAGCCTCTGCTTAAAGACCTCCAAAGACGGAGACTCCACCACACTCCTTTCTCTGTAGATGAAACACTCCGGACGGATTCACTTTGGGGGCGTCAAATTCCTTGGAGAAAGAACTCTCTTTCGAAGCCACTCTGTTTGTGGAATGCTCAATAAAAAACATATGTGGTTACGGTTTTAGCCCCGACTACGTTTTGTGAACTTTGGGTGGGCTTGAGGGATCCCTGCACTTCTCTTCCCCTGAAATCAAACACCCTGATCAGTGGGGGGTGGAGAGAGTGTTGCACCCAGTGACGCTCAGGCCAGGAGGATATTTTTAGGTCTGCTTCACGACATCGCTGTACATATGGTGGTGAATTGGGTACAACAGCCCTGCAGTGTTTTGCAGGTTGGAGGCAGGGCTGAGGCTGGTTTGCATTTCCAGGCTGAAACTCACGATATATAAACTGCTCCTCAGGTCGCAGTGAAGTTCAGGGTCCTTAAATTGCCCCCTCCCAACCCAAATCTCAGAGTGGATCTGCCCCATACATTTAAAGCACATCCAGCACACACGGAATGGAATAATAGAATTGTAGAGTTGGAAGGGACCCCCAAAGGACATCCAGCCCAACCCCCTGCATTGCAGGAAACTCAGCTCAAGCATCCATGCCAGCACCCAACCTCCCAGGAAGGAGAATGCCCACCTCCTGAGTCCTTTCCAATGTTGGGTCTCCTTTCTGGTCACTTGAATCTGTTGATTTGGGTCCTCCCTTCTGGACCAGGAGAGAACAAACTCGCTCCACCTTCCATGTGGCATCCCTTGAGATATTGGAATATTGGAAGACGACTCTTGTGCTGCCTCCTACCGTATTTTTCACTCGATAACACGCACCTGACCATAACACGCACATAGTTTTTAGAGGAGGAAAACAAGAAAAAAAAATTCTGAATGAAACAGTGGATGTATGGTACTTCTCCAGGTTAATAATAATAACAACAATAATAATATATTATTTTTACCCCTCTCATCTGGCTGGGTTTTCCCGGCCACTCTGGGCAGCTTCCAACCAAATATTAAAAACAATACCGCATCAGACATTAAAAGCTTCCCTTCAGATGGATTATAAATGTCAGGTAGTTGCTTATCTCTCTGACATCTGGTGGGAGGGCATTCCACAGGGCAGGCGCCACCACCGAGAAGGCCCTCTGCCTGGTTCCCTGTAACCTCACTTCTCGCAGGGAGGGAACCACCAGAAGGACCTCAGAGCTGGACCTCAGCTGGATGATGGGGCTGGTTTGACTTCCAGACCTGTGGCTGCTGTGAACTCTCTGGAGCCAAACAGTGGAGAATCTCCCAAGCCCCACACTTCTTCCACCAATGCGCAAATCCCTCCTGCGCTCAGGGGGCTGCCGTGGGGTCCAAGTCGAGGGCTCAGCATGCAGGCAGCAGCAGGGCTGGCTCTCCTGCCCACGGGCCCAGCCAAGACTCCTCCGGACGTGGCAGCAGGAGTGGCGTGTGAGTGACTGTCCTCGGTGCCCAGGCGGGCATGGCAACTCTGGCTCCCTGAGATGCCAGGTATTGTGGGGTGGTTCCCCTATCCCACATCTGGTCCTTTGAAGGCAAAACACCCCTGGGTAGTTTTAATTGAAGAGCAGCCCAGAAGTGTTTGGAGGGAAGGAATTAAGGAACGACTCTGGCGGTTTCTGCCGCATGCCAGGCCCGCCCCCGCAGATTGCAAAATCAAACCTTCCTCTGTTATTTGCTGTTCTCCAAAAAGCGGAAAACATACTGATTAAGCACAGGGTGGGGATCCTCTTCTCCCTTTTATTTTCTGCGCCAGATAAGGCAGGAGAGGCCCTTTGTAGGGGCTGCTCTTTAGAGGACGCAAAACCGCTATTAACTTTCCGGCTCAGAAGCAGAAGCTGCTCAGCCGCTCCCACTCGCTCCCCTCCTGTACTGAAGGCACCAAAAGTGGTTCCCTAACTTTTAGGCAAGGGCGGAGGAAGGGGGGTGCCGGACGCCCCGGGTGTCACCGCTGAGGGGGTGACAAAATGCCAGGCGGCACTCGCTGCGGGGCCTGCAGTGCGCCTGAGCCATGCGTCTTTCCTGGGAGTAATGCAGTGGCTTGGGCACCCTCAGGCTCCGCTCTGCCCCAAACGGTCCACATGCCACCTCCCCCTCAGCTGTAGGGTGGCTGAGTGGAAGGAGGCAGGCAGACTCCTCAGAGATCCCGCAAAGTGTCTGGCCCTGACTCGCCTGGCCCCGCCCCTGGGCGCAGGGCATGGGTGCTGCCCCAGGCGCCTGATCGGCTTGCTCTGCCACTGCTTTTAGGGGCCACCCCTGCCCAGTTGCCAGTGCCCCATTCTCCCATACACACTCTAAAAAGCCCTATTTGGAATAGCAGGATTGCACAACCAACTAAGGAAGGCAATCGCACACTAAAATGCAAAGCTGTGATAATTAATTGCATGTATATTCAAAATCCAATGAAAACTATTCAGCGTAATTAATTCAGCAAAAAAGTCTCGTTTTTACACCTCCAGCTCCCCCTCCTTGGTTCTCACAGGGGCTGACCAGATTCCCCAAAGGGAAACCACAGCAGGATTCGAACACAAGAGCAACACTCTCCCCTCCTGTGGCTTCAGAAGCATCGTTGCCTCTATCTGTGGAGGCAGAGCAGAGCCATCCTGGCTGGGAGCCATTGACAGCCCTCTTCTCCTCCATGAACTTGTCCTATGATACTTTGAGAGAGATCTTTCTGAGAGAGGCAGCTTGCCAAGCCCTGGGATGGCAGGGCCCGCTCTGGGCAAGGGCAGAGTCGTGCCCCCCCCCGGTGCCTCTGCTACCTCCAGGCAGTTCTTCCTGCTGCCTGTTTGCCCAGAGGCCAGTGCCCTCCCCGCCCCCTCTGAGGCCACCGGCCATTGCCCGGAATCTGCGGGGACCCAGGACGGGGCCTCCGATAAGCAGGGACCGCCAGGTCCATCCCACTTGGCGGGTCAGTGACTTCCCATCTTGGCTGGCAAACATCGCAGAGCGAGAGGCTTTTCTGGCAGGTAGAGGAGGGAGGACGACACCATGGCTCTGCCTGAGGGCCTGGACCCGCCCAGGGTAAGTGCCCAGGGGTCCCCCAAAATGGGCAGGAGCAAACCAAGCCCCCCTTTTAGCAGAGGGTGGGGTGGGCAGGGCAAAGGGGTCTGGGCTCTCAGGTGAGGGGGTTCTCTCATTGCTGGGGAGAGCAATGGGTCTCCTCAAAGGTCGCTCCTCAAAGGTGGTGGAGGGTTTTAAGCAGAATTGGGGGGGATTCTGAAGCTGTGATTCCTCCATGGCAGGGCAACTGGGCTAGATCACCCTCTCACTCTACAATTCTGTGATTTGGGTGCGACTGCTCAGATTTGAGCCCTGCCAGCTGGGAGTGAGAATCCGGTCTAAGGCTGTTCCTGCACCAGATATGTGAAGCAGGTCAGAGGATCCTGGGAACTGTAGTTTGTGAAGGGTGCTGGGGATTGTAGCTCTGTGAGGGCTAAACTACTGTTCCCATTGGTGTGTGTGTATGTGTGTGTGTGTGTGTGTGTGTGTGTGTGCTTTAGGGGCGGAATGCACTTTGAAGGTGCTTTAAGGGTAAGGCAGAGGCTGGTGCCCCTTGTGCCATTGCACAAGGACGGTGCAACATCACGTGCCCCGATTTGTTATGGCAGGGGGTGTGGGCAGAGGGAAGCCCCCCAGCCACTGGCTTACAGGAAAGGCAAAGGGACCTGGTGCCATTGTCCAAATGAAATGCCCTCCTCGTTCTCTGCGTTGCGTCAGAGGCCCCTCCCAACAAAGAAATGAGGATTTTGCCCTTACAGCAAAAAACCACCAATAGTGTCTCTCATACATGTAGGAAGACACAGGGCTCTTGCCAGCAACTAAGTGCCCCCCCCTGGGGGCAGAAAAAGGGCACCTAGATGAGGATATGGCTATGGGATAGAACTCAAAGCCAGAGCTAAAGGAAGGAAACGAGTGCCCTTTGGATCCGTGCTTTCTGGGGGGGGGGGGCAAGCAGAAGCCCCCAGCCAGTGACACTATTTAGCAGTCATGGCAAATTATTCATTATCATCATTTCATAAAATGTCTACACTTCTTAACTGTAAAGAAACCACAAAACCATCCACACCCTCAAAGTGATTTACATAAAGATAAAACTATAAAATCAAGAAAAGGTTTACAAGAACAGTTTTAAAACATATAAAAAGTTAAAATACTGAAAGAGCTTTAAATTCACATCAGCTTTTCAAGCATCTGAACAGGCTTGAAGAATGTTTATAGACAAGAATGTTTTTAGAAAGGTGTTAAAAAAAGACCAGAGAAGGTGCCTGTGTGGTATCAAGTGGCAGGGAGTTCCAGAGGGTAGGGGCTGCCACTTCTACTTCTTCTTTGGTGATTCCTCATAGCTGAGTAAGATTTTCTTCCATTAACACGGTTTTAACAGTGAGTCCGTAAGTGACTGTGGAGACCAATTCTGGATTCACAGTGGGCAGCATTTTCTCTTTTGCCTCCTGGGCCAGCCTGGCCTCAGCGCTCTCCTGCGCTCAGTGGTCGAACAGCATATCCTCTCCTGCCTTCCTGAACATTCCCGCACTTACTGGCCTTCCTTTGCCTTCCTCTCCCGCAGGGCAAATGGGTGGCCGTCGGGCACTTCCTGCTGCTTTGCCTCTCGGCCCTGGCACAGCCCGGTGGCCCCGCGGTTCCCTGCCCGGCTCTGTGCCAGTGCTTTGGGAACCTGACCGTCTTCTGCTCGGATGAAGGTCTGGAGGACATCCCCGAGGGGGTCCCCGCCAGCGCCACCCAGCTCTTCTTCGTGGGAGCCCCCCTGTTCTCGCTTCAGAGCGGGGCTTTCGCCAACAGAACCGGCAGCCGCCGCCTCGCCAAACTGGCCTTCCTGGGCAGCCCCCTCGAGTCTCTGGGACGCGCGGCCTTCGAGGGGCTGCCGGAGCTCCGGGAGCTGGAGATCTCGTCCAGCCAGCTGAGCGCTCTGAGCGGAGAGGCCTTTCTGGGCTTGGCCAACCTCAGCACCCTCGCCGTCAAGTTCAGCCCCATCAAAAGCCTGGAGACGGAGCTGTTCAGCAACACGCCGCGCCTAGAAGCCCTCCACCTCCAGGGGAACGAGGTCGGGTCTCTGCCCCAGGACGTCTTCCGCCCGCTGTCATCCCTCAAGACCCTCACCTTGTCCCAAAACCACCTCGCGGAGCTGCTCGCGGAGGTCTTCGGCCCGCTTTCGGCCCTGCGGGTGCTGAAGCTGAGCGACAACCGCCTGGCTGGCCTCTCCGCCGGCCTCTTCGGCCCCCTGGGAGAGCTCCGGGAGCTCTTCTTGGACGGCAACGCCCTGGCAGAGCTGCCCCCGGGCACCTTCGCCCCGCTGAGCGCCCTGACGCGCCTCCACCTCCAGCACAACGCCCTGGAGCGCCTGCCAGCCGCCGTCTTCTCCGCCCAGCGCAACCTCACCTTCCTCTACCTGGACGGCAACCGCTTGGCGGAGCTGCCCGACGGGCTCTTCCAGGGCACCCCTCACCTCGCCGAGCTCTCCCTGGCGGGCAACCGTCTCCAGAGCATCCCCGAGGGGCTGTTTGGCAACCTGGGCAGCCTGGCCTTCCTGGGGCTATCGCACAACCGCCTCGCCCACCTGCCCGCCGGGGTCTTCCAGGGCCTGAGCGCCCTTGCCAGGCTGCAGCTGAGCCACAACAACCTCACCGCCCTGCTGAGGGGCGTCTTCGCCAACCTCACCACCCTGGAGGCCTTGGACCTCTCCCACAACCAGCTGGCCACCCTGTCGGAGGGGGTCTTCGAGGGCAACGTCATCCTGGCCAACGTGGCCCTGAAGGGCAACCCCTGGACGTGCGACTGCCACCTGGCCCCCTTGAAAGACTGGCTCCAGGACACGGACCCCCTGATCAACGCGCGGGCCTTGTGCAGGAGCCCGGCTCACCTGCAGGGGCTGAGCCTGCCGGCCGTGCAGAAAGAGCAGCTGGTCTGTCGGCGGGGCCCCGCGCCCTCCCGGTGCCGGGCGGAGCCGGGGGTGGAGGAGACCTCCGCGGAACCCAGCGCCCGCCCTCCCTGCACCTACCAGGATCCGGCAGGGGCCATCCACCTGGCGTGCGACCGCGACGCTTGCCGCCAGCTTAGCCTGAGTCTCCCGCCAGGAGAGAGCCTGCAGGAGGCAGGGCAGAGTTTCAGCAAGGGCTGGATCCTGGACTCGGGCTGCGGCGCCGTGAAGGTCCAGGTGGCCGTGAGCATTGAGCCCCTGCCCGGAGGGGAGGCAGTGGCAGCCCCCTCGGAAGCCCCCTGAGGCCAGCATCCCCTGCCCTGCCAGTGTGGCCCGGAGAGCGGGGGGGGGGCCCTCCGGAGAGAGGGGGCTCATGGGGATGAGGGAGACCTACACTGCAGGGCTGTCGTCAGGACGTGCTTGGTATCATCACAGACGCTAACAGAAACAGAAACAGAAGCCTTTGTGACCCAAATCAGGCTTTGTCTGTGTAGATTTATATGCGGGTCTCCCCAGGATCCCAAAGGACACCCAGTGGGGATTCTGAAAGCATGGATCCACTGCCTCCCAGGGCAGGGTGGGGGTGTAGGTCTTGTAGGATTTGCTGCCTGAAGCAGCAATTTATATATTCTGTCACTTTCATTTCGTATAATAAACCAAGCTTTCTTTATTCCTTTTGTGTGGGAACTTCTTGTGGGCATGGGGTAAGGGTAAGCACACATTCATAACTGGGCATAGGTTATAACTCTAGCAATAATAATAATAATAATAATAATAATAATAATAATAAATGATGAAAATGGCCCACAGATAGTATTTAACACCTACCAGATTGGCGAAAATGTCTAAAAAAAGAAAAAGGTATATGTTGGAAGTGTAATGAAATTGAGGGATCTTTTATTAACATGTCCTGTAAAATAATTAAAGAATCTTTGGAAACTATATATAATGAATTATAAAATATATTTAAAAAACTTTTCCCCAAACACCTGACATTTTTCTCTTGGGGATGATAACAACAGAGGTCACCCCAAAACAAAAGAGTTTACTACTATATGCTACGTCCACAGCTAGAACCTTCTTGGCACAAAGGTGGAGAAGTCTAGTACAGCATTCCTAGAGTGGACATGCAAGGGGATGCTTTGTACCAGCCAGCAGGACAACTTCCTGTTTCCTCCTGGGCTGGGGCAAACTTCCTCTACATGTGCCTAAAGATGGGCGTGACCTTACCTGTCCAGGTAACACAAAAGGGCAAGGCACAAAGCCCCCCCTCTCTCTGGCTCCATTCATAGAAGAAGCAACATCTCGTTAGCTAGAGATGCCTTGTTGCTTCCAGCCAACAGAGCACAAAGGGACTATCTCCTTATGGGATAGATTCCATGTGTGTAACAAATTGGATGATTAAAAAGATGTGGATTACGCGGAGCAGCAGAAAAGCAAAGGAACCAGGAAAAGGCGAAAGGAAAGTCATATGGTATATGTATAAAGTGGACGCTTGGGTTGCGAATGTGGTCCATGCGGAACGCACATTGACAACCTGCAGCGTTCTCAACCTGCAGCGGCGCGTCTGCGCATGCGCAGGTTGCGATTCGGCACATGTGCGACCACTGAAACCTGGAAGTAACCCCTTCCAGTATTTCCAGGTTTTGGCGGTCCATAACCTGAAAAAATGCAACCTGAAGCGCCTGTAACCCGAGGTATGATTGTACAGTGGTACCTCGCAAGACGAATACCTCGCAAGACAAAAAAACTCGCTAGACAAAAGGGTTTTTTGAGCTGCTTCGCAAGACGATTTTCCCTATGGGCTTGCTTCGCAAGACGGAAACGTCTTGCAAGTTTGTTTCCTTTTTCTTAACACCGTTAATACAGTTGCGACTTGACTTCGAGGAGCAACTCATAGCACACGGTGTGGTAGCCTTTTTTGAGGTTTTTGAAGACTTTGGTGATTTTTGAAGCTTTTCCAAAACTTTCCCGACACCGTGCTTCGCAAGACGAAAAAAATCGCAAGACAAAACTCGCGGAACGAATTAATTTCGTCTTGCGAGGCACCACTGTACATGCTATTTTTGATATGAAGTTTTAATTGGGACAGGGGGATGGGAGGGAAGGGGAGGGGGTTAAATATGCTCTCTCTTCCTGTATTTGAAAATACAAAATGAAAAACAAGATAGGAAAAGGTAGTAAGGGAACACCTGGCTATCTTAAAGGAATTCAAATCTCCGGGTCCTGATGAGCTGCATCCAAGGGTACTAAAGGAGCCTGCAGGTGTAATTTCAGAGCCTGTGTCTATTATCTCTAAGAATTCTTGAGAACAGGTGAGGTCCCTACAGACAGGAGGCGGCAAATGTTGTCCCCATCTTCAAAAAGGGGAGAAAAGGAAGACCCAGGTTACTACCGACCGGTGAGCTTGACATGGATACCAGGAAAGGTCCTAGAACAGATAATTCCACAGTTGGTCTGTGAGCATGTAGAAAAGGCTATACTATACTGGGACGCGGGTGGCTTAAACCACAGAGCCTAGGACTTGCCGATCAGAAGGTTGGCGGTTCAAATCCCCACGACGGGATGAGCTCCCGTTACTCTGTCCCTGCTCCTGCCAACCTAGCAGTTTGAAAGCACGTCAATTGCAAGTAGATAAATAGGTACCGCTCCGGCGGGAAGGTAAACGGCATTTCCGTGTGCTGCTCTGGTTCGCCAGAAGCGGCTTAGTCATGCTGTGCACCGGCTCCCTTGACCAGTAAAGCGAGATGAGCGCCACAACCCCAGAGTCGGCCACGACGGGACCTAATGGTCAGGGGTCCCTTTACCTTATACTATACTGAGATGCTTAAATGTTTCTTGGGTTGTCCTTGAATCTTCCTGTCCACTTGCCACCTTTCCCTGCCTCCCCAGGGTCGTCTGCCCCACCCTTGGAGAACCCCTGTGCTGGAGGCGTCCCATCCAACTCTGCAATTCTATGGTCCCAGAGGGACCCTTCCCAGCTAAGAGCCGGGCCCAGGCCTTGGCTGATGCCCAGTTTTGTGACAAGAATTCATCACCTGGGACCCTTTATCTGACCAGGCAGACCTGCCCAACATCTGCGCAGGGCAGATCTTCGCCTCCCGGGCGCTGGGTGCCTCCCTCAGATAAGGCTGGAGGCGCTTCGCTCGGCAGCCTGTGCACGACTCTCCCGGCTCAGCAAAATGTCCGGCAACCGACTTTGGTAAGTGCTGAAAGGCTCCCCGGGGCTTGGAAGGAGCCCATCTCTCTGCCCACCCGGCTGCTGCTCTGCTCTGGGCTCCTGCTGCCTTGAAGGGGGCTCACAGCTTCAGAGCAGGGGTAGGCAACCTAAGGCCCATGGGCCACAAGGGGCTCACGGGGGTCGCTTAACCCATGAGCCACGAGCCGCCCCCAAACCGAGCTGCCTGCTCGGCGAGTCCCCCCACGCTGTGCTAAATTGGCGCAGCACTGCATGGGGACTCACTTCCATGGCTCCAGAAATAGTGTCTGTGCAGACACAGACACTGCTGGAAATCACGGGCATGTGCGTTCCCTCACACGCACAATCCACCCCACAGAGGGATCTCCGCTGGAGGGAACCGGCCAAGGCGAGGTAAACCTTGCCAACCCCTGGTTCAGAGAGACCGGCTCACCCGCAAGCGTGCCAAAGCTCACCTGCACCCACTCGGCCGCCTCCAGCGGTGGAATTGGCACTGTTCCAGGTGCCGCATAATCCCTGTTTGGCATTTGCAAGATCTTCATCTATTGGTGTGGCAGCACCTGCGCTGTGGAACTCCCTGCCACTTGAGACCAAGCTGGTGCCTTTGCTGCCCTCTTTTGGGCACCTGCTAATAAGCCTCCTTGTCTAGGCAAGCCTGCCTGGCTGTTTAGAAATGCTGCTATGAATGGGAATCCATTTTAGCATTTTAACTTTCTGTATGTCTGCCTGATTTTCTTGTTTTTATCTTTCTGTAACTGCTTTGAGGTTGCTGTTTTTTAAGGAAACAAAAACAGTGTATAAATTTTGTGGACTAAATAACGGATCTCCACCTGTCAGCTCCCTTGCTGTGCACACGTGTGTGTGTGTGTGTTTTGTGTGTTTGTGTGAAGCTAGAGCAGCTGCTTTGCATGCAGAACGTGCAAGTTTCCGTCCCCTGGCTGAAATTTGGGAGAGCCTCTGCCAGTTAGTGCAGGCAGTATGGAGCTATATTAGAGAGATGGCAGCTGCCTCTGCTCTTTGGGGAGGGAGGACCCAGCTGGAGGGGAAAGGGTGGTGGGGAGGATCAGGATTCTTCTGAGTATTTTAAAGCGACAGTTGTTTCTAGTGGTTGGGAGGGGAAATATAAGAGAGCGGTGAGTCAGAGGCGGCAGCCTCCCTCCCCTGCTTAACCACGATTCTTCCTCTTTGCCAGAAGTCCTGCCTTAGGGGTCGGAAGGCTGCTTGTGGGGGGAATGGAGGCTCAGGGGTCCGGAGGGGAGAGGCTTTGGCCCGGAGGCAGGGGGCCGGGTCTGCTCCTTGTTTGGACTCCCCACTGTTAACGGAGAAATCTGAGGGCTCCCTTGGACAAAAAAACAAGGAGACCAGCCAGGAATACCGGAGCAAAAACAGCAGCCAGTAGGCTTGGTCTTGATTGAAGACTGTCACGACAGGACTCCCACCTGCCACCAGGTGGAACAAGATGGAAGCCCTGAACAAAAGAAGACCCCAACTTTTATTAGCTGCTAATCCCCCAAGCTGCACCCCTAGAATTACATCACAACTACATCATGACTACATCATTGACACATCACAAAGAGGAGGGGTTGAGGGAGGAGTTGTGGTGGTAACCTGAGTGTCTTGTCACCTGTCCGGTTCCTCCCTTCCCCTCCCCATGATTACATTCCTGAGGTCAAAGGGGAGTTCACTGTCTCCTGCCCCAGAGGGAAGGGCTGGTCACTGTCCTTTGTTTCAGTCTGTGCTGAATCCACTCCCATATGCAGGTCCTTTGTGAATGTGATGGTCTTCTGTCTAGGACCATCAAGGTTGGCATGTCAACTGGGCAGGTTTCCTGTGGATGTGTTGGTATGTTCATTATGGCTGCCCTGTATCAAACCTTCCCCGTTTTGTAGTCCTTCCTTCATGGAGTAAAATAAAAGTGGAACGGTGCAGATCCGATGTATGGTTGATTTTCTATGAATTTATAACAGAAGCGTAGCGTATGTAGTGTGTGTGTGTGTGTGTGTGTGTCGGGTTTGTACAAACTGAATGATGGCGGGGGGTGGGGTGGGTTTTCCTGCGAGTTAGATCCAGTTAGATCAGCCACCTCCAGCCTTCTCAGACGCTCCTTCTGCCCAGACGTGCATTGGGCAACCCGTTTCTTCATTTTTCAGCTTCTGGTTGAGGTGGGTGAGCTCAAATCCTGCAGGATCCGGCCATCAGTGGCTCCTAACCACAACGACTGCCTTCTGCTTCTCCTGTCAGAGCCTCACAAAGGAGGGAGAAATCCCACTTGCAGGCTTGTTGGTTAACAAGTTGCCTTTCCACCCCTCCTTTTTCTCACGGTGGTCTACGTGGCCCTCTTCCCTCTCCTCATTTAATCCCCCCAACAACCCTGTGAGGTGGGTTAGGCTGGGAAGCAGTGACTGACCACCCCCCAGTGGGATAGGAGAGGTGGGGGGGGGGAAATCACATCTGGTAACTAATTCCCCCCTTTGGTTGCAAATAGTACATGGGGAGAGAAGTCTAAAAATCCCGGGACCCAACTTCTCACAAATTTGTAAACTATATTAGCCTTCTTTTCAGCTCCCCCACCCGACTACCAAGGTCAGATCCAGTGAACTTTATGGCCAGGTGGGGGATTTGAAGCCTGGCTCTACCCACTAGACCCTCTCCCTCAGGGCATCTGGTGGCCCCTGTGAGAAGAGGACTCTGGACTCCATGGGCCATTGGCCTCATCCAGCAGGACTCTTCTTACGTTTCTGATGGCAATTTTGCTTGGAATGAGCTCTGTGAGGGAAAACATGTGGGAATGTTCAGGGATGCAGGAGAGGATATATTGTTTGATTATAGCCTTTCCAACTTGTGTTAACAAGTTCACAATTTAGCAGAGTAACACCCCCCTTTTTAAACTCACAGTGAATGCGTTTGCTCAGGCTCGCTAAAGCCTCTATAATAACTGTTCTGGTATTTCCCCCTTATTCCCTCATAAAAGGTAAGACACGACACAGTCTTCTATAAAAGTCTAAAAAGAGTTTACTCACACATCATTCTGTTCACAATCGGATCCCAGAAGGCAGACTTAGCTTAGAAAAGTAACACACACCTGGAAACTATCTCATAAGGAGACAGTCCCTTTGTCCTCTCTGGGCTGGAGGCCAAGAGGGCATCTTTGGCTAAGCAGATGTTGCTTCTTCAATGTCAAGGCGAGAGAGGTGGCTGCCCTGCCCTGTGCTTTTGTCCTTACCTGCGCAGGTGAGGCCACGCCCACCTCTAGTCACATGCAGAGGAAGTCTGTCCCAGCCCAGAAGGAAACAGGAAGTTGACCTGCTGGCTAGACAAACATTCCTCCCCATGTGTAAACATGTTCACTCTAGGAATGTTGTACTTGACTGCTCCCACAAAACAGCAGATTGTGAAGGAGCTGAGGGTGTGCATGATGCAGCAGACCCCAGGAATCAGGACGTTCCAGCTGCAGAGAGGCTCGCCAGATGTGCACTCTCTTGGTGAAAAGGCTAATGGACATCTCTTGCTTTCTTCCAGGATGGTGCCCACAGTGGCCATTGTCCTCCTCCTCTGCCTGGCCTTTGGAACTTGCCAGAACCCGCCCACCTGCACAGGGGCCTACGACTGCCCCAAGGCCCACCAGGAAGTCTACACCAAACTAAGGGACGTGACGGAGATCCCAAAGATCGCCAGCACCATCATCACCGAAATGATCTTTGTGGAAACCAGCCTAACACAGATCAAGAGCGGAGCCTTCCGGAACATGCCTGGCCTGCAGAAAGTCCTGTTCATGGGCAACAAGATCAAAACTGTAGAGGTGGGGGCCTTTGATAACTTGGAGAAACTGGATGAGCTGGAAATCACGCAGGCTGAGCTGGGCGACCTCCCTGTGGGCACCTTCCGCTCTCTTCCTCGCTTGCAGAAGCTGAATCTGCGGGACTCTCAGATTAAGGGCCTCCAGAAAGGACTCTTTGAGGATCTCGGGGAGCTGGAGGAGATCTACCTGCATATGAACGAGATCCCTTCTCTCCCTGAAGGTGTCTTTGATGGGCTCTCCAACCTGACCTTTTTGCACCTGGCCAGGAACAAGATCACTACCATCCCAGAGGACGTCTTCAAGGAACTTTCTCGGCTGAAGGTCCTCCGGCTGTACGAGAACGAGATTGGAGACCTCCCGGAGGGGAGCCTGGACAGCCAGCAGGACCTGACGGAGCTCGCCCTCCAGAAGAACAAGATTCGCACGCTGCCTCCCAGGGTGCTGAGGAACAAGCCCAACCTGGAGAAGCTTTTCCTGGAGCACAACCTCTTGGAGACCCTCCCGGATGAGGCCTTCTTCGGACTGAGGAAGCTGAAGCAGCTGACCCTGGCTTCCAACCGGCTGAAAGGTCTCCCCAGCCGGCTCTTTGGGCAGATGCCTTTGCTCACCCAGCTGGACCTGAGCAAGAACGCTTTGCAGGCTCTTCCAGCGGGGGTCTTTGCCAACCTCACGGGGCTCACAAAGCTCACCTTGTCCCACAACCAGCTGGCAGGCCTCCCTCTCGGTGTTCTAACAGGCCTCCGCAAACTCTCTGAGCTCAACGTGGAGGCAAACAAGCTCTCGTCTCTGGAGGGTCTCCTGCCCCCTTCCCTCCCGGGGCTGAAGACCCTGAGGCTCCGCCAGAACCAGCTGGAGACCATCCCTCCGGGCCTCTTGGACAGCTTCACCAAGCTCACCTCCCTGTATCTCGGGGAGAATCCGTGGAGGTGTGACTGCCTCCTTCTCTACCTCCACCGATGGATGAGCAGCAATCCCCAAAAAGTGAAGGACGCCACAAAGGTCATGTGCGGAAGCCCCAGGGATCTGCAGGGCAAAGCAGTCAGTTCCTTGGCGGAAGATCAGCTGGTTTGCCCAACGACTCTGCCCATTTCAAGCAGCGCTCTGCCCACAACCACTTTCCCTCCTCTTGTCACAGCAAGGATGAGCACAACACTCCCCCCATCTCCTAAAAAAGCCACCGTTGCTGCAACCACCTCCGCTTCTGAGGCTGCCACCACCACAAATGCAGCCACAACCCTCCGAACCACAGAGGCTCTGACCTCAACTCCTCAAATCACCACCTCTGAGAGTCTCACGGAAACCTCACAGACCATGACCACCAGCGATCCGGCAGGTGCCATCCCCCTGGCGTGCGACCGCGACGCTTGCCGCCAGCTTAGCCTGAGTCTCCCGCCGGGAGAGAGCCTGCAGGAGGCAGGGCAGAGTTTCAGCAAGGACTGGATCCTGGACTCGGGCTGCGGCGCCGTGAGGGTCCGGGTGGCTGTGAGCATTGAGCCCCTGCCCGGAGGGGAGGCGGTGGCAGCCCCCTCGGAAGCCCCCTGAGGCCAGCATCCCTTGCCCTGCCAGTGTGGCCCGGAGAGCGGGGGGGGCCCTCCGGAGAGAGGGGGCTCATGGGGATGAGGGAGACCTGCACTGCAGGGCTGTCGTCAGGACATGCTTGGTATCATCACAGACGCTAACAGAAACAGAAGCCTTTGTGACCCAAATCAGGCCTTGTCTCTGTAGATTTATCTGCGGGTCTCCCCAGGATCCCAAAGGACACCCAGTGGGGATTCTGAAAGCATGGATCCACTGCCTCCCAGGGCAGGGCTTGTAGGATTTGCGGCCTGAAGCAGCAATTATATATTCTGTCACTTTCATTTCGTATAATAAACCAAGCTTTCTTTATTCCTTTTGTGTGGGAACTTCTTGTGGGCATGGGGTAAGGGTAAGCACACATTCATAACTGGGCATAGGTTATAACTCTAGCAAAATATAATTATTAATAATAATAATAATAATAATAATAATAATAATAATAAATGATGAAAATGGCCCACAGATAGTATTTAACACCTACCAGATTGGCGAAAATGTCTAAAAAAAGAAAAAAGGTATATGTTAGCAGTGTAATGAAATTGAGGGATCTTTTAGTCACATGTCCTGTAAAATAATTAAGGAATATTGGGAAACTATATATAATAAATTTTAAAAGATATTTTAAAATCTTTTCCCCAAACACCTGACATTTTTCTCTTGGGGATGATAACAACAGAGGTCACCCCAAAACAAGAGAGTTTACTACTATATGCTACGTCCACAGCTAGAACCTTCTTGGCACAAAGGTGGAGAAGTCTAGTACAGCATTCCTAGAGTGGACATGCAAGGGGATGCTTTGTACCAGCCAGCAGGACAACTTCCTGTTTCCTCCTGGGCTGGGGCAAACTTCCTCTACATGTGCCTAAAGATGGGCGTGACCTTACCTGTCCAGGTAACACAAAAGGGCAAGGCACAAAGCCCCCCCTCTCTCTGGCTCCATTCATAGAAGAAGCAACATCTCTTTAGCTAGAGATGCCTTGTTGCTTCCAGCCAACAGAGCACAAAGGGACTTTCTCCTTATGGGATAGATTCCATGTGTATAACAAATTGGATGATTAAAAAGATGTGGATTACGCGGAGCAGCAGAAAAGCAAAGGAACCAGGAAAAAGGCGGAAGGGAAGTCATATGGTATATGTATAAAGTGGACGCTTGGGTTGCGAATGTGGTCCATGCAGGATGCAAATTGACAACCTGCAGCGTTCTCAACCTGCAGCGGCGCGTCTGCGCATGCGCAGGTTGCAATTCAGCACATGTGCAACCACTGAAACCTGGAAGTAACCCCTTCCAGTATTTCCAGGTTTTGGCGGTCCGTAACCTGAAAAATGCAACCTGAAGCGCCTGTAACCCGAGGTATGACTGTACATGCTGTTTTTGATACAAAGTTTTAATTGGGACAGGGGGATGGGAGGGAAGGGGTTAAATATGCTCTCTCTTCCTGTATTTGAAAATACAAAATGAAAAACAAGATAGGAAAAGGTAGTAAGGGAACACCTGGCTATCTTAAAGGAATTCAAATCTCCGGGTCCTGATGAGCTGCATCCAAGGGTACTAAAGGAGCCTGCAGGTGTAATTTCAGAGCCTGTGTCTATTATCTCTAAGAATTCCTGCAGAACAGGTGAGGTCCCTACAGACAGGAGGCGGCAAATGTTGTCCTCATCTTCAAAAAGGGGAGAAAAGGAAGACCCAGGTTACTACCGACCGGTGAGCTTGACATGGATACCAGGAAAGGTCCTAGAACAGATAATTCCACAGTTGGTCTGTGAGCATGTAGAAAAGGCTATACTATACTGGGACGCGGGTGGCTTAAACCACAGAGCCTAGGACTTGCCGATCAGAAGGTTGGCGGTTCAAATCCCCACGACGGGATGAGCTCCCGTTGCTCTGTCCCTGCTCCTGCCCACCTAGCAGTTTGAAAGCACGACATGTGCAAGTAGATAAATAGGTACCGCTCCGGCGGGAAGGTAAACGGTGTTTACGTGCGCTGCTCTGGTTCACCAGAAGCGGCTTAGTCATGCTGGCCACATGACCTGGAAGCTGCACACCGGCTCCCTCGGCCAGTAAAGCGAGATGAGTGCCGCAACCCCAGAGTCGGCCACGACGGGACCTAATGGTCAGGGGTCCCTTTACCTTATACTATACTGAGATGCTTAAATGTTTCTTGGGTTGTCCTTGAATCTTCCTGTCCACTTGCCACCTTTCCCTGCCTCCCCAGGGTCGTCTGCCCCACCCTTGGAGAACCCCTGTGCTGGAGGCGTCCCATCCAACTCTGCAATTCTATGGTCCCAGAGGGACCCTTCCCAGCTAAGAGCCGGGCCCAGGCCTTGGCTGATGCCCAGTTTTGTGACAAGAATTCATCACCTGGGACCCTTTATCTGACCAGGCAGACCTGCCCAACATCTGCGCAGGGCAGATCTTCGCCTCCCGGGCGCTGGATGCCTCCCTCAGATAAGGCTGGAGGCGCTTCGCTCGGCAGCCTGTGCACGACTCTCCCGGCTCAGCAAAATGCCCGGCAACCGACTTTGGTAAGTGCTGAAAGGCTCCCCGGGGCTTGGAAGGAGCCCATCTCTCTGCCCACCCGGCTGCTGCTCTGCTCTGGGCTCCTGCTGCCTTGAAGGGGGCTCACAGCTTCAGAGCAGGGGTAGGCAACCTAAGGCCCATGGGCCACAAGGGGCTCACGGGGGTCGCTTAACCCATGAGCCACGAGCCGCCCCCAAACCGAGCTGCCTGCTCGGCGAGTCCCCCCACGCTGCGCTAAATCGGTGCAGCACTGCATGGGGACTCACTTCCATGGCTCCAGAAATAGTGTCTGTGCAGACACAGACACTGCTGGAAATCACGGGCATGTGCGTTCCCTCACACGCACAATCCACCCCACAGAGGGATCTCCGCTGGAGGAACCGGCCAAGGCGAGGTAAACCTTGCCAACCCCTGGTTCAGAGAGACCGGCTCACCCGCAAGCGTGCCAAAGCTCACCTGCACCCACTCGGCCGCCTCCAGCGGTGGAATCGGCACTGTTCCAGGTGCCGCATAATCCCTGTTTGGCATTTGCAAGATCTTCATCTATTGGTGTGGCAGCACCTGCGCTGTGGAACTCCCTGCCACTTGAGACCAAGCTGGTGCCTTTGCTGCCCTCTTTTGGGCACCTGCTAATAAGCCTCCTTGTCTAGGCAAGCCTGCCTGGCTGTTTAGAAATGCTGGTATGAATGGGAATCCATTTTAGCATTTTAACTTTCTGTATGTCTGCCTGATTTTCTTGTTTTTATCTTTCTGTAACTGCTTTGAGGTTGCTGTTTTTTAAGGAAACAAAAACAGTGTATAAATTTTGTGGACTAAATAACGGATCTCCACCTGTCAGCTCCCTTGCTGTGCACACGTGTGTGTGTGTGTGTTTTGTGTGTTTGTGTGAAGCTAGAGCAGCTGCTTTGCATGCAGAACGTGCAAGTTTCCGTCCCCTGGCTGAAATTTGGGAGAGCCTCTGCCAGTTAGTGCAGGCAGTATGGAGCTATATTAGAGAGATGGCAGCTGCCTCTGCTCTTTGGGGAGGGAGGACCCAGCTGGAGGGGAAAGGGTGGTGGGGAGGATCAGGATTCTTCTGAGTATTTTAAAGCGACAGTTGTTTCTAGTGGTTGGGAGGGGAAATATAAGAGAGCGGTGAGTCAGAGGCGGCAGCCTCCCTCCCCTGCTTAACCACGATTCTTCCTCTTTGCCAGAAGTCCTGCCTTAGGGGTCGGAAGGCTGCTTGTGGGGGGAATGGAGGCTCAGGGGTCCGGAGGGGAGAGGCTTTGGCCCGGAGGCAGGGGGCCGGGTCTGCTCCTTGTTTGGACTCCCCACTGTTAACGGAGAAATCTGAGGGCTCCCTTGGACAAAAAAACAAGGAGACCAGCCAGGAATACCGGAGCAAAAACAGCAGCCAGTAGGCTTGGTCTTGATTGAAGACTGTCACGACAGGACTCCCACCTGCCACCAGGTGGAACAAGATGGAAGCCCTGAACAAAAGAAGACCCCAACTTTTATTAGCTGCTAATCCCCCAAGCTGCACCCCTAGAATTACATCACAACTACATCATGACTACATCATTGACACATCACAAAGAGGAGGGGTTGAGGGAGGAGTTGTGGTGGTAACCTGAGTGTCTTGTCACCTGTCCGGTTCCTCCCTTCCCCTCCCCATGATTACATTCCTGAGGTCAAAGGGGAGTTCACTGTCTCCTGCCCCAGAGGGAAGGGCTGGTCACTGTCCTTTGTTTCAGTCTGTGCTGAATCCACTCCCATATGCAGGTCCTTTGTGAATGTGATGGTCTTCTGTCTAGGACCATCAAGGTTGGCATGTCAACTGGGCAGGTTTCCTGTGGATGTGTTGGTATGTTCATTATGGCTGCCCTGTATCAAACCTTCCCCGTTTTGTAGTCCTTCCTTCATGGAGTAAAATAAAAGTGGAACGGTGCAGATCCGATGTATGGTTGATTTTCTATGAATTTATAACAGAAGCGTAGCGTATGTAGTGTGTGTGTGTGTGTGTGTGTGTCGGGTTTGTACAAACTGAATGATGGCGGGGGGTGGGGTGGGTTTTCCTGCGAGTTAGATCCAGTTAGATCAGCCACCTCCAGCCTTCTCAGACGCTCCTTCTGCCCAGACGTGCATTGGGCAACCCGTTTCTTCATTTTTCAGCTTCTGGTTGAGGTGGGTGAGCTCAAATCCTGCAGGATCCGGCCATCAGTGGCTCCTAACCACAACGACTGCCTTCTGCTTCTCCTGTCAGAGCCTCACAAAGGAGGGAGAAATCCCACTTGCAGGCTTGTTGGTTAACAAGTTGCCTTTCCACCCCTCCTTTTTCTCACGGTGGTCTACGTGGCCCTCTTCCCTCTCCTCATTTAATCCCCCCAACAACCCTGTGAGGTGGGTTAGGCTGGGAAGCAGTGACTGACCACCCCCCAGTGGGATAGGAGAGGTGGGGGGGGGGGAAATCACATCTGGTAACTAATTCCCCCCTTTGGTTGCAAATAGTACATGGGGAGAGAAGTCTAAAAATCCCGGGACCCAACTTCTCACAAATTTGTAAACTATATTAGCCTTCTTTTCAGCTCCCCCACCCGACTACCAAGGTCAGATCCAGTGAACTTTATGGCCAGGTGGGGGATTTGAAGCCTGGCTCTACCCACTAGACCCTCTCCCTCAGGGCATCTGGTGGCCCCTGTGAGAAGAGGACTCTGGACTCCATGGGCCATTGGCCTCATCCAGCAGGACTCTTCTTACGTTTCTGATGGCAATTTTGCTTGGAATGAGCTCTGTGAGGGAAAACATGTGGGAATGTTCAGGGATGCAGGAGAGGATATATTGTTTGATTATAGCCTTTCCAACTTGTGTTAACAAGTTCACAATTTAGCAGAGTAACACCCCCCTTTTTAAACTCACAGTGAATGCGTTTGCTCAGGCTCGCTAAAGCCTCTATAATAACTGTTCTGGTATTTCCCCTTATTCCCTCATAAAAGGTAAGACACGACACAGTCTTCTATAAAAGTCTAAAAAGAGTTTACTCACACATCATTCTGTTCACAATCGGATCCCAGAAGGCAGACTTAGCTTAGAAAAGTAACACACACCTGGAAACTATCTCATAAGGAGACAGTCCCTTTGTCCTCTCTGGGCTGGAGGCCAAGAGGGCATCTTTGGCTAAGCAGATGTTGCTTCTTCAATGTCAAGGCGAGAGAGGTGGCTGCCCTGCCCTGTGCTTTTGTCCTTACCTGCGCAGGTGAGGCCACGCCCACCTCTAGTCACATGCAGAGGAAGTCTGTCCCAGCCCAGAAGGAAACAGGAAGTTGACCTGCTGGCTAGACAAACATTCCTCCCCATGTGTAAACATGTTCACTCTAGGAATGTTGTACTTGACTGCTCCCACAAAACAGCAGATTGTGAAGGAGCTGAGGGTGTGCATGATGCAGCAGACCCCAGGAATCAGGACGTTCCAGCTGCAGAGAGGCTCGCCAGATGTGCACTCTCTTGGTGAAAAGGCTAATGGACATCTCTTGCTTTCTTCCAGGATGGTGCCCACAGTGGCCATTGTCCTCCTCCTCTGCCTGGCCTTTGGAACTTGCCAGAACCCGCCCACCTGCACAGGGGCCTACGACTGCCCCAAGGCCCACCAGGAAGTCTACACCAAACTAAGGGACGTGACGGAGATCCCAAAGATCGCCAGCACCATCATCACCGAAATGATCTTTGTGGAAACCAGCCTAACACAGATCAAGAGCGGAGCCTTCCGGAACATGCCTGGCCTGCAGAAAGTCCTGTTCATGGGCAACAAGATCAAAACTGTAGAGGTGGGGGCCTTTGATAACTTGGAGAAACTGGATGAGCTGGAAATCACGCAGGCTGAGCTGGGCGACCTCCCTGTGGGCACCTTCCGCTCTCTTCCTCGCTTGCAGAAGCTGAATCTGCGGGACTCTCAGATTAAGGGCCTCCAGAAAGGACTCTTTGAGGATCTCGGGGAGCTGGAGGAGATCTACCTGCATATGAACGAGATCCCTTCTCTCCCTGAAGGTGTCTTTGATGGGCTCTCCAACCTGACCTTTTTGCACCTGGCCAGGAACAAGATCACTACCATCCCAGAGGACGTCTTCAAGGAACTTTCTCGGCTGAAGGTCCTCCGGCTGTACGAGAACGAGATTGGAGACCTCCCGGAGGGGAGCCTGGACAGCCAGCAGGACCTGACGGAGCTCGCCCTCCAGAAGAACAAGATTCGCACGCTGCCTCCCAGGGTGCTGAGGAACAAGCCCAACCTGGAGAAGCTTTTCCTGGAGCACAACCTCTTGGAGACCCTCCCGGATGAGGCCTTCTTCGGGCTGAGGAAGCTGAAGCAGCTGACCCTGGCTTCCAACCGGCTGAAAGGTCTCCCTGGCCGGCTCTTTGGGCAGATGCCTTTGCTCGCCCATCTGGACCTGAGCAAGAACGCTTTGCAGGCTCTTCCAGCGGGGGTCTTTGCCAACCTCACGGGGCTCACAAAGCTCACCTTGTCCCACAACCAGCTGCCAGGCCTCCCTCTCGGTGTTCTAACAGGCCTCCGCAAACTCTCTGAGCTCAACGTGGAGGCAAACAAGCTCTCGTCTCTGGAGGGTCTCCTGCCCCCTTCCCTCCCGGGGCTGAAGACCCTGAGGCTCCGCCAGAACCAGCTGGAGACCATCCCTCCGGGCCTCTTGGACAGCTTCACCAAGCTCACCTCCCTGTATCTCGGGGAGAATCCGTGGAGGTGTGACTGCCTCCTTCTCTACCTCCACCGATGGATGAGCAGCAATCCCAAAAAAGTGAAGGACGCCACAAAGGTCATGTGCGGAAGCCCCAGGGATCTGCAGGGCAAAGCAGTCAGTTCCTTGGCGGAAGATCAGCTGGTTTGCCCAACGACTCTGCCCATTTCAAGCAGCGCTCTGCCCATAACCACTTTCCCTCCTCCTGCCACAACAAGGATGAGCACAACACTCCCCCCATCTCCTAAAAAAGCCACCGTTGCTGCAACCACCTCCGTTTCTGAGGCTGCCACCACCACAAATGCAGCCACAACCCTCCGAACCACAGAGGCTCTGACCTCAACTCCTCAAATCACCACCTCTGAGAGTCTCACGGAAACCTCACAGACCATGACCACCAGCGGGACATCCTCTCAAACCACCAGCACCACCAGCACAGGGGCTCCAACTCCTCACATCTTCACCATCACCACTCCAAGTCCCACCTCAGCCGAGACAAGCCCTGAAATTTCCACCACCGCTGAGATCTCAAGCACAACCTCTGTGTCCATCACAACCCCGGCCACAACCCCCGAGGCAGCCACGACCATCGCTCACCTGCCACCCACAACCTCTCAGATCACAACGACAACAAAGGTTCAGACCACGGCCCCTGAAATTACCAGTGCCAGGACTGCGGCTGCCACAGCTGGCTTCACAACTGGGATGTCACACACCACCCCTTCTGGTGCCACCACAACCGCTCAGATCTCCACAACCATTGGCAGGACAACCACCGCAACTTCTGATGCCTCCACAAGCCGCCCTGGTACATCAGCCACCACACCTGTGCTTCCTGGGACAACCAGCAAGGCAGTCGCCACCACACCTTCACCGCTTGAGACCAACCCTACGGAGACATTCTCTTCGGTGGCGGCTTCCACAATGTGCCTTGGCAACGTCAGTCTTCCAGGTGGATGGAGGTCCGGGTCTTTGTCTCCAGAACCGACAGCCAGGCTGGACCCGACTACACGTCCTGAGACGCCCCCGTCGCCCACCTCTGCTGTGACACAGGCTCCCCTGCCCACCACTGGCTGGGTGACAACCTCTCCAGCTGCTGCCAGCTGCACCTTTTGCTCTTCGGCTGTCACGCCAGCCAGGGCTTCCCTTCCTCCGAGCCCAAGGCCCAGCCGTCCAGCCAGCCCCCCTCAGCCTCTGTCCCAGAAAATCCAGGCCTGGGGCTCTTCGCTGAGTTCCAACTACCGGTACTGCAAGCTGTCTGCGATGATGTATTTGTCCATGCTGTGTCTTGAAATCTGCTGCACCGCTGCCTTGGCCAGGTGTGTGTACGCCCTGCACAGAGCCACGCGTTCCATGGACTCGCCCACTGTGCCGGTCAAGCTGGTGAAGGTGAAGCCCAGAAGGATGAAGCTGTGATGGTTTGGCCACAGGAGAGACCTTCACAGGATGCTAGGGCTGTCAGGGAGTCCAGGGGTCATCTCGCTCAAGCCCCTGCAATGCAGGAATCGCAGCTAGAGAATTCCTGACAGGTGGTCCTCCAAGCTCTGTTTAGAAACCTCCAATGGATCCTAGATTGGCAGAGTTGGAAGGGATCCCCAGTGGTCATCTAGCCCAACCCCATGTGTGGTGTTAGTACGGAGCACCCAGTCGTCTCATGGACTATTGACCTGTACACCACTAATCCACTGGAACCAACCAGGTCCTCCCTGGTAAAATCACATCAGTCTCAGTCAGCTTTTCAATTACCAATAAAGAAGAGTGTATTTTATTTCAGAGATAAAACAAAACTTTTGCCGCATTCCAAACGGTGTTCCTCTTTACTTTCTTAGTCTTATGTTCCTCTCTCTACCTCTGCTACCTCCCCACACTCAAGGACCAATTGCCCTAACTGTCTCTCTATTACCAACTGCCTTTCCCAACCAGCCAACCCATGAAAGCCAACCAACTGCCCACCCACAACTCCCAACGAACTCCTCTCAGAACTCTTCCCAGAACTAGTTTTATAGACCCACTGACTCTATCCCCCTGGGTCCTGTGCAACCTATTTAACTATTTCCCCTCCAGCACTCTCTCTTATATGTTAACGTCATACCATGCAATGGAGGAATCATGGCAAATTAAATGAGGGAGGTGAAGCAGCAGGGGTGGATTTACACACAGGGGGAAATGCCATAAGTCAGTCAGAAATTAAATTCTTACCAAAAAAAAAAAAAAAGCTATGTAAATATCACATAGAAATAGTTTGCTCTCTGGTGCCATCTGGTGTCGCATGTTTATAACGCATTCAAAATGTTGTTTTTCCTAGTGTAGCTGAGTCCTAGGGGTCTCCCTCACCAGTGTAACAATTTGCTTAAATCGTAGGCTTATCTTAGGTATGACTATTGAAATAAAAAATTAAGGTCTTATATATATTTGCCAGGCAAACACGTACATAAATGTATGGGCCACATGTCTGAGGCAGCACAGGAGGGCAGTCCTGGAGCCATTTTGGCTCCCAAACTGACCAGATGTTTTCTCTGCAAAGTCAAAGGAAAATGGAAAAGACTCCCCATTGTCTTTTCCTTCACAAATCCTGTCTTAAGGGTATGTCTGTGTTTGAATAGGGTGTGAGCCTGTGACCTGGCCCAGGAACTAAGTATTTATCATTACAAAAGACTGGCCAGGCTCCCCAGGGTATCCAATCAAGTAAGCATTAATAGGTAACCTGCCAGACAGGAGATAAACAACGCACTCAGGTTTCTGCTGTAGACCGCCCTTTCTGTGATGTAGGTATGATGTATCTGGGGTGGTGGTCTTGAGCTACTGTGATGTAGGTATGATGTTTCTGGGGGTGGTCTTGGACTCCAAGGTGGACTTCAACCTGGGTTCTGGGTCCTCTGCCTCCTCCTTTCCTGCGTGTAAGGGGAGGACCCTGTTGCAACAGTTCAATAAAGATCAGGCTTACTAGCCGCTTTGCTTCTCAATATTCTCTGCTTGGCCTCTGTTCTTTTCTCCTACCAATAGGGAACCCACTTAAGGACTCTAGACGGGCTCTTGTGTTCCCCATAAGGGAATAAGGGCAGATTTCCGTTTATTACACAGGTCCTGCTGAGTGTGATCCCAAGAGACTCTCTCACAGGCACATTTGCACCCAGGGTCGTGCCCTGCTGCCAGCCTGTGCCAGGAGATGATTCTTTGGGGTGTGAAACACAGAGCAGTTAAACACAACATTCCCAGAGCAGACATGTTTAGACATGAGGAGGGATGTTTGTCCAGCTAGTAGATAAACTTCCTGTTTCCTTCTGGGCTGGGACAAACTTCCTCTGCATGTGACCAGAGGTGGGCGTGGCCTCACCTGTGCAGGTAACAAAAGCACAGGGCAGGACAGCACATCTCCCTCTTCTCCGTTTTGCTTTCGTCAAAGAAGCATCAGCCTGAGATGCTATTGGCTCCAAAGGAACTATCTCCTTATGGGATAGATTCCAGGTGTATGTATTTTGTAACTTAAGTCTGCCTTCTAGGGTCCATTTGTGAACAGAATGTGAGTAAACTCTTTTATATACTTTTATACAAGACTGTGTCGTGTCTATTCTTTTTAGGAGGGAATAAAAGGGGATTTTCCAGGGTACTTGTTTTAGAGGCTTATGCAAGCCTGGCAAAAAACATTATCCGCTGTGTAAGTTTTAAAAAGGGGAATGTGACTCTGCTAAATTGTAGAACTTGTTAACACAAGTTGGGAAGGATATAATTCAACAATATATCCTCTCCTGCCTCCCTGGACATTCCCACAGATTCCTGGCCAGATGACTGGGCTTTGGCTGCCCACCCACCCCCACTTCCATTGAACAGCTCAGGCTCCCCAGGGGAGGGGAGAAATTTGTAGTTAGAATCTTAGAATGGAGGAGTTGGAAGGGACCCCAAGAGGCATCTAGCCCACCCCCTGCAAGGCAGGAATCACAGCTAGGGGCAGTCATTTAATGCAAGGCTGGCAAAGCGTGGGTGGCAAAGAGGCAATGCCAGCAGGTGGGAACTCGATGCGCAGCAAGGTGGAAGGGCCTGTTATTATTATTGTTATTGAATTCAAGATTACGGTAAACTGAGAAAAAGTCATGAACTTTAAAAGCATTTAAATTCAGCTGCTTTCTGTGGTCTCCTGGGCATGGTCGGCCAATTGGTGCCAAAGAAGGATAGTACTTTCTTTATGTATGCCACAACAGCAGCGAGAATACTTATTGCAAAGTATTGGAAGACACAAGATCCTTGGTGTGTGGAGTGCCTCAGGGTGCGATTCTCTCCCCGATGCTTTTTAACATCTTTATGCGCCCCCTCGCCCAGCTTGTCCGGAGTTTTGGGCTGGGTTGCCATCAATATGCTGATGACACCCAACTCTATCTGTTGATGGATGGCCATCCTGACTCGGCCCCAGACACACTGACCAGATGCCTGGAAGCTGTGGCTGGATGGTTACGTGGGAGCCGGTTGAAGTTAAATCCTGCGAAGACAGAGGTCCTTTGGCTGGGGCGGGACGATATGGGATCGGGGGGACAACTCCCATCTCTTGCGGGGGTGCAATTGGTGCCAGCACCATCCGTTAAGAGTCTGGGTGTAATCTTCGATACCTCCCTCTCTATGGAGGCGCAGATTACAGCTATAACAAAGGCGGCATTTTTTCATCTCCGCCAAGCTAAGCAGTTGGCCCCTTACCTCTCTCGCCCTGACCTAGCCACTGTGATCCACGCGACGGTCACCTCCAGATTGGATTATTGTAACTCGCTCTACGTGGGGCTGCCCTTGAGACTGACCCAGAAACTCCAGCGGGTACAGAATGCCGCAGCGAGACTCCTTACGGGGTCCTCGCTGCGAGATCACATTCACCCGGTGCTATACCATCTGCACTGGCTCCCGGTGGAGTATAGGATCAAGTTTAAGGTGCTGGTTTTAACCTTTAAAGCCCTATACGGCCTAGGACCCTCGTACCTACGGGACCGCCTCTCCTGGTATGCCCCACAGAGAAACCTACGGTCTGTAAATAAAAACATCCTCAAGGTCCCAGGCCTCAGAGAGGTTGTTGTTGTTGTTTAGTCGTTTAGTCGTGTCCGACTCTTCGTGACCCCCTGGACCAGAGCACGCCAGGCACTCCTGTCTTCCACTGCCTCCCGCAGTTTGGTCAGGCTCATGTTTGTAGCTTCGAGAACACTATCCAACCATCTCATCCTCTGTCGTCCCCTTCTCCTAGTGCCCTCCATCTTTCCCAACATCAGGGTCTTTTCCAGGGAGTCTTCTCTTCTCATGAGGTGGCCAAAGTATTGGAGCCTCAACTTCACGATCTGTCCTTCCAGTGAGCACTCAGGTCTGATTTCCTTAAGAATGGATGCATTTGATCTTCTTGCAGTCCATGGGACTCTCAAGAGTCTCCTCCAGCACCATAATTCAAAAGCATCAATTCTTCGGCGATCAGCCTTCTTTATGGTCCAGCTCTCACTTCCATACATCACTACTGGGAAAACCATGGCTTTAACTATACGGACCTTTGTTGGTAAGGTGATGTCTCTACTTTTTAAGATGTTGTCTAGATTTGCCATCGCCTTTCTCCCAAGGAGCAGGCGTCTTTTAATTTCGTGACTGCTGTCACCATCTGCAGTGATTATGGAGCCCAAGAAAATAAAATCTCTCACTGCCTCCATTTCTTCCCCTTCTATTTGCCAGGAGGTGATGGGACCAGTGGCCATGATCTTCGTTTTTTTGATGTTGAGCTTCAGACCATATTTTGTGCTCTCCTCTTTCACCCTCATTAAAAGGTTCTTTAATTCCTCCTCACTTTCTGCCATCAAGGTTGTGTCATCTGCATATCTGAGGTTGTTGATATTTCTTCCGGCAATCTTAATTCCGGCTTGGGATTCATCCAGCCCAGCCTTTCGCATGATGAATTCTGCATATAAGTTAAATAAGCAGGGGGACAATATACAGCCTTGTCGTACTCCTTTCCCAATTTTGAACCAATCAGTTGTTCCATATCCAGTTCTAACTGTAGCTTCTTGTCCCACATAGAGATTTCTCAGGAGACAGATGAGGTGATCAGGCACTCCCATTTCTTTAAGATCAGAGAGGTTAGGCTGGCCTTAACTAGAGCCAGGGCCTTCTCGGCTGCGGCTCCAATCTGGTGGAATGCTCTGTCACAAGAGACTAGGGCCCTGCAGGACTTGACATCTTTCCGTAGGGCCTGCAAGACAGAGTTGTTCCGCCAGGCATTTGGTTAGGGCGCAGCCTGACTCCCTCCTCTGGCAACCTGCACAGTACTTTGGTTGCCATCAATTTGATTTTAATTAATTTTTATAATGAAATATTTTAGAATGTGTGATTATTCAACTATTGGTTATTTGATTGTTGTTAGCCGCCCTGAGCCCAGCTTCGGCTGGGGAGGGCGGGATATAAATAAAATTTATTATTATTATTATTATTACCCACCCTGGAAGAATGGCAGATGAAGGTGATGGACTATATGGAACTGGCGGAGATGACTGGCAGAATCCGAAACCAGGGAGAAGAGTCGGTGGAAGAAGATTGGAAGAAATTGAAAGACTACTTACAAAAATACTGCAAAATTAATGAATGTTAGAATGATGTTGGATTGAAGTTGAGTGGTTTTCAGCAGTAATGTTGTAAGGATGTGTAAAAATGGATTGATAATAAGGGAATAATTTAAAGTCATAATATATTAAGATTAAAGATTAGGATAAAAATAAAGAGGGAAAGGATTTGCTGAACCAACTAATTGAACTGGATACAAAAAAGGGAGGTGTGAGGAGGTCTGGGAAACAAGCGAATGAAAGATAAGACATGAAAAGATTGAATTGTTTTTAACTGTTTTTATTTTGTATTTCTTCTTCTTTTTCTTTTTGTAATACTTTGAAAATTTTAATGAAAATCTTTTAAATAAATAAATAAATAAATTCAGCCGCTTTCTGTGGTCTTGGTGATGTTCTCTTGCAATAAAGAGATGCGGGGGGGGGGGCTCACAGCAAATGCAGCAGGGGGTGGGTTAAGGAGCACCCCTGAGAATACACAAAGGGCGTCTCAACAGGTCTCTCCCAATGACTCCTGCCTGGAGGCTTTAGCTGTGCAGCAGCGCCTCCCAGTGGATGGAGGACAAATTCCAAAGAGGGAAGGAATACTCTTGTTTCAAGCAAAAGTTCTGGAGTTAGAGTCAGAAAATCATGGAATTGTAGAGTTGGAAGGGGACCCTGAGGGACATCTAGTCCAACCCCCTGCGAGGCAGGAATCTGTGTTAGTCGTTGTTAAGACAATGCCCACCCTTGGATATATATATTGTTGAAGGACTTTTTTTAAAAGTACAATATCCCTAAGCCAAGCTTCTTTCTTAGAATTATTATGGGTCAATTAGCATGAAAATGACCTTTTCCCACCTCATTGCAAGCTGTTACGGAAATTATGGGGGGGGCACATATTTAAAGTTAAATGTTACAAATATTATGCCTGAATGTATCCTTTCAACTTGACAGCTCAGGGAAGTTACCTAGCTTAAAATAATATACAATAACTCCTTTGCCAGTTTCCTCCATTCCAAAGGTATTTTCCCCTTGAAAAGGACTCCAGGAAGTTCCCAGAGGTGACAATTGCTGGGCTGATTGTTGGCCAAGGAAAGCCTAATTCCCATCACCAAACTTGCCAAGGGGCCAGACATGCAAAGGAAGTTCTGTTGTACTTGGGTAGTGGGATTTCAGAGGTGTTGCTAGGCTAATCTTATACCTGGGTCTTGCCCTGCCATGTCTGCTAATGCTAATCTTGTACCAAGGACTTGTCTGGACATGTTTGCCAAGGTAAAACTAGTGTAACCCCTGTCTACCCCTCCCCTTTGGTGACATGTCAGTGATGTATCAATGATGCTGTACGAACTGTATTCTGGGATATGGTGGGAAAGTTTTAAAAGTCCTTGTCACCCCATCCTCGGGGTTCAAAATTCCTCTTTGAGCCTGTTGCGCAATAAACTTTGGTCTACAGCTATTTGCTCCGGTTGGTGGCTGGACTCCTTCCTTTATTCCGCAGGGACCCACGACCAGCTGGGGGACTGAGCAGCCTCACACCTAGATTTTTCCGTAACACAAGCTAAGCAACAAAGATTGTAATCAGATTTGAATTAACTGGGAAGAGACTTCAACATAGGAGCATAAGAAGAGCTTGATCAGGGATCAGGCCAGTGACCCTTCTAGTCCAACATGCTGTTCTCACAGGGCCCAACCAGATACCCCAAAAGGAAACCCACAAGCAGGATTCGAATGCAAGGGCAACACTCTTCCCTCTTGTGGTTTCCAGCCACTGGCATTCAGGAGCATCGCTGCTGCGAGCTGTGGAAGCAGAGCAGAACCGCTCTGGCTGGCAGCCCTCTCCTCCTCCATGAATTTGCCCAATCCTCTTTGAAAGCCATCTAGCTGGATGGCCATTCCTGTCTCCTGCAGCAGGGAGTTCCACAGGTTAACTAGGACTCCCAGCAATTCTATGGCCTCAAAACACACCAATGGGAAATGCCTTGAGGTCCAGCTGCAGGATCAGTCCCTGCTCCAGGAGGACAGCCGCAAGGAACAGGCTGGGCAATGATAGGACCCTGTTATGAGAATTATAAGGTCTAAGATATAAAATAAATGTACCAGGCAAACACATACTGTACATACATAAATATATGAACCGCATGTCTGAAACAGCACAGGAAAAAGGTCCTGAAACCATTTTGTCTCTCCCAAATTGACCTCAAATGCTTCTCTGCAAGGACAAAGGAAATGGGGAAAACTCCCAATTGTCTCTTTGCTTACAAATCCTGTCTTAAGGGCCTATCTGTGTATGAATAGGGTGAACCTGTGACCTGGACTCAGGAATTAAATATTTTCCATCACAAAAGAATGGCCAGGCTCTTCAGGTAAACCCATTAACAGGTTCCCTGCTGGATAGGATTCTGCTGTAGACTGCCACTTCCGTGATGTACGGTATGTATGATGTTTCTGGGGGTGGTCTTGGCTCCAGGGTGGGCAATTTCAAAAGTCTATATAAGAGCTTGCACACCATTGTTCTGGGTTCCTCCTCCCTCCCTGAGTGGGGTGAGTGGGGACTCTGTTGCAACAGTTTAATAAAGATCAGGCTTACTAGCTGCTTTGCTTCTCAATATTCTCTGCTTGGCCTCTTATTTTCTCCTATCGATACAGAAACTACAAAGGACTCTATATGGGCTTTTGGGTACCCATAAGGGAAAAGGAGCAGTTTTTTTCTTATAACAGACCCCAATACCAGCTGATGCCATGACTGGCACCCTTAGTTAGTTTATTTCCTAACACTTATACACTGGTTGTTTGCAAACAGACAAACCTCAAAACCTCAAAACAGTATACAAAAAGAAAAAATAAACACCAGGAAAATTTACAACAATACTTTAAAACCTATGGAAATGTACAACACTAGAGCAGATTAAAATTCACTTTCCAAGCCTCTGGGTAGCCTTGTCTAAACACGAATATTTTTCAGCAAGGAGCCAGCAGAGGGCGCCAGCTAGCCATGTATGCTGGCTGCCCGGCTCCGCAGGGGTGAATGTTGCAAGCCTGGGCGTGCTTGGGAATCCAGTGCTCTCCCTGCAAAGCCTTTCCTCCTGTAGTTTCCAGCAGAGTCGCCCTCGAATCTGGCTTGCTGGTTTCCATAGGCATCCTCTACCCAGGGCTGCAGGTGCACAGCATGTCCAGGGGTCCACTCTTAGATGCTCACCCTGGGATTCAATTTGGGAAGCAGCCCCTGGAGCTGCTGCGCTGCTGCCAACCTCAGAGAGGGGCAGGTCTCCTAGGTGGTCAGAGGGAGGGAAGGCTGCCTGAGCTCAGGTCCAGGTGCCGTGGGCTGGAGCGCTTCTTGGGGAGGGCCTGGAGGCCGAGACCCGACACTCACCTGCCCTCCACCAGGTGGCAGGAAATGGTCTCAGGACTGCAATTCTGAACCCTCAGCTCCAACAACATCTGGAAAGAGCAGAAGCCAAGTTGGGGGGGGGGAGAAGAGGCAAGAGGAGCAGGTAACCAGAGCCAGCTGGGCTGATGCCTGGCAGCTTATCCATGTTCCTCTCCAGCCCTTGGGGGTGGGTGGGTTGCTCACTTCAAGGGGCTTCTGGCAAGCGGAGCTGAGCCCAGGTGAGAGAGGCCTGCAAGGCCACCTGGACTTTTGGGGCGGAGGCGGGGGGGGGGAGCATTAGCACAACATCAGGCAGGCAAGGACCTGTAAAGGTTTCAGGTGGGTGGAAGAGCATCTTTTCCGGAGGTCTGCAGATGGAATGACCCCCCCCCCGGTGAGGAAAGGTGGGTGGGATTTTTTTTTAGTTTAGAGAAAAGGCGAGGAAGGACTCCTCCTCAATTCTGTTTGCCCTGCTGCTTTCCTCCTGAGGTTTAGCTCTGAATCGGAACAACTGCCAACTGGGCTTCTTGCAGACTGCTGTTTGTTCCGATTGAACGCTAAAGAGCAGGTTTTCCAGGGGAAAGTGGCAGGAACCCAGGCCTGGAAGCACAGGACAAGCAGAAAACGGCTCAGACCCTCTGCTTCCTGCACACGGGACAAGGGGAAGCGTAGACGAGCCCAGAGAGAAGTGACATGAGAGGAGTTTATAAAATTGTGCACGGCATGGAGAGGAAAGTTTTCCTCGCTCTCTCCTAACACTAGAATTGGTGGACATTTGTGGAATGTTGGACAATTCAGGATGAATACCTGGAAAGACTTCTTCATGCAGCGCAGAATTAGACGACGGAGCTTGCTTCTGCAAGAGGTGGTGACGGCAACCGACTTGGACGCCTCCGAAAGAGGCTTGCCCTCCGCCCCAACCAACCAACTATTTACGATAACTAGTGGGAAATGTTGCTCCGGCATCTCTGATGATTGTGTAATGAAGCCGGGCGAAATGTCCTGCCTTTGTCCCCCCAGGAACCATGAAAGACCCTCCCCTTGTTTCCAGGCAGCTCTGAAAGGGCACAATGGCAAAGAGGCCTAACGCTGGGGCGGGCGGAACGCCCCCGCCCCTGGAGGTGGAGGCCACGGAGGGAGAAGAGATCCTGGGGTCATAAAGCAAGGAAGCCCTGGGATGCCCCGTCAGGGACGGCGCTCTGCAGATGCGTGAAATCACTCCCCAAACCGGCGGTGCAGGGGAAACAGGAGCGTCTACACAGCATAAGCTGATTTTTTTAGAAAGGATTTTGGCAAAATGCATCCATATTTTCTTAAAAGACAGGAAAAATAGCACAACATCTCCCCACTCTCCTCCCACAGCAACAACACTGCCATGTTTCAATAGCGATATTTCTAAATGTAAAGAATGATACAGTTTTGATTGCCGTTGGGCAACGTATCAGAATAAAATTATGTAGAGCTTGCAATAGATGGTTAAGATAACCAAATGCCTAATGTCACTTGTGGGAGTTTATTGGCCTATTGGTATAAGAAGTAGAGGACCACCATATTGCCAAAAATAATGAGTTTGGTTTTTCTTTTCCATGGGAAAGTTTGGTTTTATGGGCTGTGTTTTCTGCAGTCACTGTTATCCTTGCATTCTAATACCAGAGTCCCAATGCAACACCTTGAGAGTCTCTCCAGGCTCAGGCAATTGAGAATCTCACGGTGGTTGAGGAAAATCTATGACTCCTTTATTCCCACGTTGCCTGTTGGCATCTTCCAAAGTGTTCAGGAGAGTCAGCTGTGGAGAGCACCAGCTGATTCTAGCTGTGATGGTGCGTTATTTTTAAAAGCATGCTATTGACCTGTTACCGCACTGACTGGCAGCAGCTGCCCAGAGTTTCAGAGGAGAGGCATTCCCAGCCCTGCCTGCAGGTGCTGCTTGAACCTGCTACTTCGTGCATGCAGGGCAGGGGCTCTCCCACCGAGCGATGGCGGCTTTTTACCCATTTTATGTCACGAGGTGGTTTCCACAGAAGTGTGCATGGAGCACAACGAAATCCATAAAATGCCATAAAGTACAATCTGTACACGCAAACGGATGCCTTGTCATTCCACTCCCATCGTCAGCAGTACACAAAGGAGAGAAGAAACAAAAGGTGGTTTCCAAAGGCTTTGAGAAACAAAGGGGTTTTCAGCAAGTGGAAAGGACCCGTTAAGAGCCCCCCCCAGCACCCAGTCTCACTCACTGACCCTTGCCTCTTGCCCTGCTCTCTCCAGGCAAAGGCCGGCGCATCAAAGCTCTGCATCCGAGAGGGTTTTTGTTTCTGCCCTGCGGAAACCTGCTCTTTGGCGCTCAATCGGGGCAAACATCGATTCGGGTTTTCTGCCGATTGCTGTTTGCTCCAACTGAGCTTTAAAGAGCGGGTTTCCATGGGGAAGGCTACGGAGCAAGAAAAAGGGCGTTCAGACATGGAGCTTTAAATCATGGACCATGCCTGGAAAGCGTGGAGGAAAGGAAAGGGTGGAGAAGGCTGAGGACAGTGCAGAAAACCTGGAATGCCAAGAGGGGTGTGTGTGTGTGTGTGTGTGTGTGCGTGTGTGTGTGTGTGTGTGTGTGTGATGACGCCACTCAGATTCTCTATAAAAACCAACAGACTGGTGCCCATTCCAGAGAAAATGCCATGCTCAGCATTTTCCAACTTGGAAAGGTGCCTTGTCAAGCCCAGTGTCCTCATACAGCTGTGCTAGCAGAGGCTGATGGGAGTTGTGGTCCAAACATCTGGAGGGTGCCATGTTGGGAAAGGCTGGGCTGACAGGGAAGGCAGCCACTCCCCATCACTGCAGGAGCCCCGGAGGAGAAAAATCCGGAACGGCCCAGGAATGCAACAGAGCGGTGGGAACTTTGTTTGCTGTTAACTCCTAAACTCAGCTTTAATTCCCAACTGATTGCAGGTGTCTTTTGTAAATGGCTTGCATTAATGTTGCCTGCTTTAAAATCATCATTATAACATTGAAAATCATCATGTTAACATTGAAAATGCACTTTTGTGGGTCAGAGGGCAGAGTTGACAAATCAGCAGTAAATAGGGATTCAGAAGAAGCAAACCTCTCCAGGACAATAAATCTGAGCGCTTTTCTTACAGGACTGAGACGACCAACATTCCCTAAGCAGGGCCTGCTAGGAACAGTTTTATTTGTGACCTCCCTGGGTTTGCTGCTTGGCCAGCGCCGCGCAGAGAGAGCCCTCGTTGTGGTCCCTGCGTCTGGGCTGAGGGCGGCTGAAAGGTGGCCAAGGAAGGAACGGGTGGCTAATTGCCACATAAATTGTGTCTGTTCCCCTGGAGAGGGTGAAGGGCCAAGGGCTCCTGCCGTCCTGCCATCGCCTTAATCAAGTTATCCCCGCGTTGTCGGGGCGTCCAGGCCTGGCTGCTCCTGTCTAGAGGGGGGAAATGCCCTGACAAATTCCTAGCAGCGGGAAGTGGCAGCTCTCCTGCGTGGAAGGATGAAAAGTACCTGCAACCTCGGCTGGCCTCCCTGCTCCCTCACGCTGGGAGAAGGCCTCTGCGACCAGCGCCATGCTGCTTTCGGAGCCCGGCTGGAGAATGGGATGCGCCTTTGAAGGGGAAGCCTCTTCCCAGGGACACGAGGCAGGCGGAGGCAGCACAATGGCGCTGGCAGTGAGGATGCTGGAGAAGGCTGCTTTGCTGCCCCTAGCCCCAGACGCGGCACTTTCTCTCCTGTTATGGGGACCATGGGGACAGGGGGCAGCCGCAGTGCTGGATTTACGTATAAGCTAAGCAAGCTATGGCTTAGGGCCCCACTCTCTTGGGCCCCCCGAAATAATTAAAGGAAAAAAATGGATGTACATTTCCAAAATATAAGATAAAAAACAAATAAAATAAAACCTACATACAATGTTTTGTAAGGGACGCAGGTGGCACTGTGGGTTAAACCACAGAGCCTAGGACTTGCTGATCAGAAGGTCGTGGTTCGAATCCCCGCGACGGGGTGAGCTCCCGTTGCTCGGTCCCTGCTCCTGCCAACCTAGCAGTTCGAAAGCATGTCAAAGTGCAAGTAGATAAATAGGTACCGCTCTGGCGGGAAGGTAAACGGCATTTCCGTGCGATGCTCTGGTTCGCCAGAAGCGGCTTAGTCATGCTGGCCACATGAGCCGGAAGCTGTATGCTGGCTCCCTCGGCCAATAAAGTGAGATGAGCGCCGCAACCCCAGAGTCGTTCGCGACTGGACCTAATGGTCAGGGGTCCTTTTTACAGTGTTTTGTGTTGTGTTGTCTCCTATTTGCTATGTGCAAATGGCTTGAGATACCTATGAGGTCCATCAATTACCATATAGCATATATTCAACACAAAAAACAGTGACAATTTGTTGTTCCTTCTTATCTTGTATTTTTTTGAGTGACAATTTGTTGTTGACAAAGGACAGCTGGGCATACAAAGGTCCTCATTACCTTCAGTAGCTGGGGGCCTCATCCAACCTCAGTCCAGCCCTGCAGTCTACCATTGTTCCCATTCGTGCCTACTCAGGCCCACTGGGAGAGGGGTCAGGCGGCAGAGCTTGTGGTGGGCTGTGGTAATCAGGGGTGTCTCTGTGACCCAGTGGCCTGCTTGGTTATCCGTGCCAAAACTGCTCCATTTGAGGGGGATTCTGCTGAGAGTCTGGCCTCATCCACATGTTGAGACCACCTGCTGCTTGCCAGGACCCCCAACCCACATAAGAACACCAGGAGAGACCCCTGGATCCGGCCAGCGGCCTATCTAGTCAAGCATCCTGTTCTGAACCCACAAGCAGGATCCGACCACAAGAACCCTTTCTCCTCTTGTGGTTTCCAGCAAATGGGATTCATGGCTGCCTCCAGCTGTGGAAGGCAGAGCCCGGCCCTCCTGGCTAGGAGCCATCGATAGTCCTTTCCTTACTCCTCTTTTACAGCCATCCTGGTCAGGGGCCATCTCTGCCTCCTGTGGCAGGGAGTTCCATAGCGCTGCATGAGGAAGCACTTCCTTTTATTTTGCAGAATCATTAAACCCTCGAATTGCAGCTGTCCCAGATGGAGATTGCGCCTGCAACCTTGGCATCAGCGCCACACGCTAACCAACGAAGCTAGCCAACAGCCAGACCACGGTTTGCTTCTCTAGTCCAACGGCGGCAAAATCTGACGGGCATCAGCTTTGGATAATACAGGAAAGCTGTCAAACATGGTTGCGCACTGAAATTTGCTCCTTGGAGCATTTCCTTTCCCATCTCTGGAGGAGTTAATGAGGCAGTGGTTGTGCAGAATGATTGCTGGAGCGCAGCTTACTCTCCTAGCCCAAGAGCAGCAAAATCTGATGGGCAGCATTTTTGGACAGACAGGATGCCTGCAGACAGAGGGCCTTTGTGTGGGATAGTCAGGAGCCACGAACATGAATTTCCAGGGTGGGTGAGCTTCTTTGCATCCCTGGGGTGGCCAATTAAGGGGAAGGCTGCAGGACCACAGGATTCCATGGGGTTAATGTCAGCGCTAGTCAAGGCCTGAGCCCCTTTTGTCTCCAAAAGGTGATTCCAAATACTTTCCTAATGTTTAACTCATTCTAAGGGGCAGCTTCTTTTTCTTCTTGCCTCTCCAAAACAGGATGCTGTTTGCCAGCCCATTCCCCTTGTGCCCCCCTCTGCAAGGGGGCTTCCTGAGTGCCCAATTAGGGGAGAATGGCCCCTTCTTAACAGCTCACTCCGGGGGAGAGACCTGGGCTTTCTCTCCTAGCTCAGGTGCAAAACACCCCAGACATCCACTAAGAGGCCACTCTCAGGTATCCAACATAGATAAGAAGGAAGTCCTTTACATTGGCTAATTGGGGGCCAAAGGATCCCATTCGAGTCAAAGCACTGAGGTCATTAATCAGATCCTCAGATCAATTTTCTTTAAGGTAAAGAAAACAAGGCAGGGATGACTCAGGCCTGCTTTTTACTGCCTCTAGACTTCAGACTGGGTGATCCAGAACTCTTTTGAGGTGCCAGTTTATTAAGATCTTAGGGCATCATTTCAATGCTCCTTGGACCTTCACATCAGAGGATGCAGAAAAACCCAGGTAAAGAACTAGGAACCAATTGGAGGTTTCTAAGCAGAGCAGTCCCAGCGCCTGCCAACCTAGCAGTTCGAAAGCACAAAGTGCAAGTAGATAAATAGGTACCGCTCCAGCGGGAAGGTAAACGGCGTTTCTGTGTGCTGCTTTGGTTCGCCAGAAGTGGCTTAGTCATGCTGGCCACATGACCCGGAAGCTGTCTGCGGACAAAAGCCGGCTCCCTCGGCCAATAAAGCGAGATGAGCGCTGCAACCCCAGAGTTGGTCACAACTGGACCTAATGGTCAGGGGTCCCTTTACTTTACCTTAAGCAGAGCTTGGAGGGACGCGGGTGGGTTTGTGGGTTAAACCACAGAGCCTAGGACTTGCCAATCAGAAGGTCGGTGGTTTGAATCCCCGCAACGGGGTGAGCTCCTGTTGCTCAGTCCCTGCTCCTGCCAACCTAGCAGTTCAAAAGCACGTCAAAGTACAAGTAGATAAATAGGTACCGCTCAGGCGGGAAGGTAAACGGCGTTTCCGTGCGCTGCTCTGGTTCGCCAGAAGCGGCTTAGTCATGCTGGCCACATGACCCAGAAGAGCTTGGATGGCCATCTGCCATGGATGCTTTAGCTGAAATTCCTGCATTGCAGGGGGTTGGACTAGATGTCCTTTGGGGGACCCCTCTGACTCTGATTCCATGATTCTAATTCCAAATGTCAGGAGAAGAGCCCCTGGCTGCTCCCACCTCCTGTTTGCACATGGTCCAACTCCTGCACAACCTCAGAAATGGGGGGAAGCAGCGCTGCCGTGATCCTCCTGAGCTCTTGGCTCTCTGCTCCCTTCCCTCCCTCTCCATGCAGATGTTACAAGCAAGGCTCCCCTTCCCTCCTGCCCCAGCAACTGCTTTCCAGCAAATTATTTCTGTAAGATCTCT